GAAACATGGCAATGCTGATGGATTGTCACGCCAAGTTCGCAAATGCAAGCGAGAAGATTGTTCTGATTGTGGTACCAATGGTGATGTGGCTGTGAGTAATGTTATTGTAAGTGCAATATCAAAACAGCCCGGTCAATCATCGTCAGACGGTTCCGATTGTAATTGGCTAGATACCTACACAGATGAGCAAATTAAATCTTGGCAAAGTGAAGATCCAGATATTTCTGCTGTTTTGAAATGGAAACAACTTACTGCTCAGAAACCTGATATTCAAGAATACATGCCTGAATCAACAGTGACCAAACGTTTAATGTCGCAGTGGGACTTGATTTTTGTAGATAATGGACTTCTCTATCGTCGTTGGATTCCTGATTGTAAATCGGAGAATCGCATATCCAATTGATTGTTCCATCAAATTTGAGGCAGGACTTGTTTCATAAGCTCCATTCTTTGCGCACTGCAGGTCATCTTGGTGCTAATCGAACTTTCAAGAGTATAAGGCGCAGATTTTATTGGCCTGGTTTCAAAAGGGACATTCTGAAATGGTGCAAATTTTGCAAGTCTTGTGCTTCAACAAAGATGCTTTACGGAAGAAGACAGGGAGATTTGAAACAACTTATATCTGGAGCTCCTATGGAAAGGATTGCCATTGATTTTCTTGGACCATTGCCTGTAACTGAAAATGGAAATGAACACATTTTGGTTTTGTCGGACTATTTCTCTAAATGGGTGGAATGTTTTGCTTTACCAAATCAGCGAGCTGACACCACTGCTGATGCATTGGTTACTCAATTTTTTCGAGATTTGGGGTACCAAGAATTCTCCACTCAGATCAAGGAAGAGACTTTGAATCAAATTATTTCAGAAATGTGTCAATTGTACGGGATTCAAAAGACTCGAACAACTCCATATCATCCTCGTTCAGATGGACAAGTTGAACGTTTCAACAGGACCATACAGCAGATGTTGAAAGCTTTTGTAAATGAGAATCGAAATGATTGGGACGACCATCTCCCATATCTTTGCATGGCATATCGCTCCACTGTGCATGATAGTACAGGATATTCACCGAACAAGTTAATGCTTGGACGAGAAATCGAGATGCCTGTTGATGTTATGTTTGGCAAACCAGAGTCATCAACTCATCCTTGTTACACTGAGTTTGTCGAATGGTTTTCCTGTGCAACTGAAAAAGCTTTTCTTCATGCTAGGCAACATCTAAATGCTGCTGCAACCAGACAAAAGCGAAATTTTGATCTGGGTGTTAAACCACTTACTTTCCAGAGAGATGAATTGGTGTGGTATTATTATCCACCTAAGCATCGCAAGCTGAGTATTCCTTGGATTGGACCTTATCGAATTGTGGACTGTTTACCTAATCACTTGTATAGGATTCAGAAGAATTCGGGAACACGTTCTCGAATTGTACACGTTGACAAGTTAAGACCTTACCTTCATGAAGATGAAGAAGACAATGACATTGACTTAACTGGATGTGACATTTTACCTGATGTGGAACCTATTATGGAAAATGATGAGCAGATTGCTCATGATATTTTTGATGTATTACCTTTCTCTTCAAGGCCAGACGCTGTACCAGAAGAAGTTACAGTTGATGCGAACTTTGATAATGGCCAACGTACTAGGCGAAGGCCTAGATATTTGGATGATTACATTTGATTTGACTGTGATAGTGCTTTTAAAAATTGATTGTTTTGATTTTATATATACATTTCATTTGAGTGTACAGTTTTTTGCAGTTTCTTCACATTTTTATGGTTTTTCAATTTTGAAGATGGAAAATTTCTTTGTAATTTCCCATCTGAAAAAGGGGGGAGTAATGAGACGACCACGTCTATAACTCTGTTTTATTCTGTATGCCCATATTTATTCTTACCACTTGAGTCATTAGTGAGCAACTGTGTAACTTTCTCTTTTAGCTGGTTTGTCAGAGTGCCGGCAGTGTGGAATTTCCTCTGTGTTTTAGGTTATTATTATAGTGTTTAGTGCCGTTAATCTGTGTAATTCTTGTTGTAAAATGATATTAGTAGTACAGGTTTACTATTTCTCCAGTTTGGCATAGCTCTGTTCACTAGTTTGCTTGTATTTAACACTTCCGTAACTAGTCTATTTTCGCAGTTTATTTCCTGTGTGATTTCTATGCGTATTTCCATGTATATTACGTGTTTGTCGATAAGATAGGATTTGTGTGTATCTTTAGTGTCATACTAGTTATTCTTATGTATATCTAGGTATGTTTTACCCGGTTTTTAGTATCCCATTATAAGTAAATAGTTCATGACTGTGACGTCATAGACAAATTCTGTATCTTGTGTTACGTATGTATCCTACGGTATTTGTACTGTTTTTATTTGTTTATTGTATTTCTGATTGGAGTATTTGGTTGTATTAAGTTCTTACAGGTGTATAATTAATCTAGTTAGTTAACTTAGTTACTCTGCTGTGGTTGGAACCGCAAGAAGATTATTTTGTGATCGACATCTATTGCAACTTCAGTGTCCAAGAAGCTGGCAGAAAGAACCTGAGTGGTGATATCAATTTTGGTACGCCACACCATATTAATAATTTTATAATGGTTGCCACCACAGAATTGATCTATTTTATAAATGGAAGTGAACAGTAAAGATAAACTTAGCTAAAATATTAGTTGAGGTGCATTGACTTGATGGTGGATGAAGCCCATGATTGTTCTATGATCCTCGTATAGGCGTGCCGATAGAAGATGTTGCACGCAATTTACAAAGCCACGATACAGATTCATAAAACCAATTTAAAAATTTTCATTTTTCGATTGGATAATTGAAATACCACTGACAGCCGTATTTGGAATTTTATCCAATCCTTGCGGCTTCCCTTCCCCAGTTGGAATGTGTGATTATTTTTTCTCTTCGTATCTTGTGTGAATCTTTGAAAATCTAAATGAAAAATTTGTTTGGGTTTTTTGACAATCGCTGCTGGTATACCGACATTTTGTAAAACAGACTCCAAGGAAATTGTTGATTCCGGGCGTTGCTCTTTTTGAACACATGATAGGATTCTACCTATTTATCCCAGGTGAAAAGAAAGCCTTTAAGATGGCCTAATTAGCCTATATGGCGAACCACAGACTTTCGTCCGGTTACCAGTGAAATCTAAATGAAAAATTTGCTTGGGTTTTTTGACAATCGCTGCTGGTATACCGACATTTTGTAAAACAGACTCCAAGGAAATTGTTGATTCCGGGCGTTGCTCTTTTTGAACACATGATAGGATTTTACCTATTTATCCCAGGTGAGAAGAAAGCCTTTAAGATGGCCTAATTAGCTTATATGGCGAACCACAGACTTTCGTCCGGTTACCAGTCTATGTTGGGTATGGGATTATTCAGCCAGTTGTTTGTTTTCGGAAGCATGAAATTGAAGGTTGAGGCAGCTGTGAACATGAATGTCGAATACGACGTTCAGGACTTCAAATTTTAAACTGAAGAGACATGATATCTTTTTTTTTTAAATTGGTCAGAATTCAGGGATAAATTAAATATATTTGAATTGATCAAGCACTAGCTAATGCTATCGTTGCATTACTGAATTTCTGAACATTGCGTTAGATTGGGTTATGAATAAAGTTGAATAATCATTGGTACATTACAATAGGATGGAAACGTTCCACCGCTAAAATCTCAATAACTCACACTAGCGCTGGGGTTCTTTAATTTTGTCGCTTTAAATTCGGCAAATTTATCCGCCAAGTTTACCTCTTCAGATACGTAAAGTGTGGACTTTTCCGTTCAATGTAGAATACGAAACAAGGCACAAAGCCAGACAGCACTTACTCAGAAGTAAAGAAGACTCATCTATAAGCCAAGTTACGGGCACTCACTCAGAAGTAAAGGAGACTCATCTCTGAGCTAAGTTACGGGCTCTCACTTAAGGAAGGGAGACTCATCTATAAGCTAAGTTACCGACAGTCAGTCATGAGTAAATAAGACTCATATCTGAGCAAGGTTACGGGCACTCACTAAGAAGTAAAGGAGACTCATCTCTGAGCCACGTTACAGAAACACACTCAAAAGTAAAGAAGACTCATCTATAAGTCAAGTTATTGGGCACTAACTTAGAAGTAAAAGAGAATCATCCTTGTGCCAAGGAGATCCCTAAACCAAGACTGTTGAGTATGTGAAACTTACAATCAACTCCGACTCTGGGTTGAGAAGAATTCTGAGTTGTAAAAAACCATAGATCTGAACTCTAAGAACATCAAATTTCAAGAACAAGGACTTCGGCGCATGTAATAGTCAAGAATGCTCAGTAAACTGAAAGCTTTCTCGAGTTTATGTGGAAAATTGACTTCTATTATCACCATTGAAAGTAAGGAATCAGAAAAGCCAACCTACTGAAACGATAAAAATAGACCAAGGGTGTGCTACCTGCCTCCCACAAGAAAAAATTATGTCTATTTTAAATTGTGTGCAGTTGCAAAACGAGTTTTCAATTTAGTTTGGTACGCTCGAGTAATTTCAATCCCTTACAATGCCCTAACAGCTGGCTTGTTCGAAGCGAGCAACTCACGTCATACGATCAATATCAAAATTTTTGTGCCTCATCTTCTAGAATACCTATGTTGAATATAGGTGCGGTCCGCGGTTTTACCCAGTTATGTGTATCTGGCCCTCCTGTATTAAAGGTCGCACACCCGTGAGTTAGAGCATTACGAGCAATCAGAAGTACAAGAGACTCATCTCTGAACAAAGTTGCGAACGACAACTAAAACGCCAGTATCTATAGAAACTATATAGAGTTGTGTGCATTACGAACTAATAACCGAGAAGTATCGCGTGTATCTAACAGACAAAAAAACAGACGAATACCTATCAACATACTTACCGAAGTAATAACTGTCAACTGGACACTCAAACCAAAATTAGGCCCGTGAGATCATTAAAGTGACATCTCGATAAGCAACTATTCTGACCAACTTCATTCACAAAAAACTAATCACAATACAATGTACATGCTTATTATCTTCTCACAATCAGGAATAAGGTCACGTGATATTAACAAAATAAAGAAAATATAAAAATTAAAATAAAAATTTATACAAATCAGCAATACTAAGTTCAATTGGTCATATGCATTACGTCACTAATAGTTGACGTCACAATTACGCTCGTCAGAGATAAGTCGCATTAATCACAGTGTAAATATAAAAAATGACATCATAATGAAAAGATGACTTCATAATGTTTAACGTTGCCGATTCGGAATGCAAAATATATATATATGTACAATAGTTTGACTGCAATGGTTGGGAATGAATAATATATCAAAAGTTTGGTATGACGTCACGCTAATATGACGTCACATTTTCTTTGTTTAATTTTGACCACATGGTCATATGGTAACTCTTTTTCAGCGAGACGCCAAATAGATAACGGGTGGCTTACGTCCAATGATAGGTAATTTGTTCAATGAAGAAAAAGTTTCGGTTAAAGATCGCAGGCAAGTCCAAACTTTTTCTTTCGTTACTCGAGACGTGAATTAGAGAGATAACCGGCGCAATACCGGTCATTCAAACTTGCTTGCTTTAAAGAGATTAATTTTTTAAAACCATGTTCGGTGTTGAAAATATCCTAAAACTTAAACGCGCCGATATCTTTAGGCTCATAAAAAAAATTCCGCCAAGGCACGATTTGAAGTGACGTCAAATTATGATTTGTCGTATTTCAATATATTTATCAAGTAACAATTTATAAGCTCGATCATGGATGGTCCAACGATGCTTCAAGAACGTTTAAATCGATATCCATGAATACCATAGTACTGTTTGACCGTTATTGTTCTACCGTTCCTAGTTTCGATATTCTAGAATTCTTTTAAGATTTCGTATTTAAATACACATAGAATCATATTATGTGCAGGAATTTACGTCGCAAAGGAAGGCAAAAGAATGGGATGGCGAACCTTCTACCTGTCATACTACCAACCCAATGGTTTGAAAAAAACGAGGAAACATATTTTTGACTTTTGAAGATCTCATAGGAATACTTTGCCGAATACCGAGGTAGAAAACCAACATGAAAAGCGTACTTACTGTAATTTAAAAAAAAGTTATCATTCACCCCCTTCAAACCTTCGATAACCCAGATAAGTTTAGGCCATAGCATTGTGAATTCATAACCCACATTCTACTAAAATTCAATAAGCCTATTCGGTAAAAGTTCGCCATCCCCAACATAGAGCGTAAATTATCAGCAGAATAAAAAAAAATTTCAATAAAAATAATAATTCAGAATCATTTAGAACACTTTTGACTATGAGAATTCAGAATTTATAAACTGCAAGATTTCAATGGCGCCGGGATAAATTATGACATGAAAGAAAAATAAATGAATTAAAATATTGGGTGATAATTTCTAAAGATAACTGCTTCGTGCTATCAATATGTAGCAAATGAATATGGCAAATACGTGTCTTAGCGCGTTTTTTCCGAAAATAAGACCTAGGCTTAAATTGAAAAATCATTTTAATATACCGGTTTTCATATTTTGTATATTTGAAAATCTATAATTTTGTTTTTGATAAATAAAAATAGAAGATATCCATCCAATAAGCCTTAGTGTTATTTCTTGGAAGAGAATTGAAATAAGACCTTGTCTCATTTTCGGGGAAACACAGTAATAAAGATAAAGCCGATAAGATGACTTAATCATGGTCCCATCTATAAAGGCACTGCTATATGATGAATCGGTATATTTTGTGACAACCGTAACCAATTTGGAAAAGTCTGTCATTTCGCAATTGAACTTCACGGCATTCTTTTTTCATCATGCAAAATTTCCGGTGTTCCAGAAGTATGTGCACCAAGATGTCGCACAGCCCGAATCCTAACCGGCACACACATACTATATTCAGGTTGTGCGCCATCTTGGTGCATCTCCATCCACGTATTTTCAATTTGTTTTTTGAATAAAACATACTTTCGCATTACTATCTGTTATACGTAGCCTATTTATTAGCTGGTTATTTTTGAGGTGGGGTGCGAGACTTGACAAATCAAAAAAAAAAGGGGGGGCCACAAAAAGTTCGAGAACCACTGGTCTAGACGGAACATAACTGTTGTGCGAAGCGTCCTAGATTATTAAAACTTCCGGACACAATCACACACAAACAGAAGTTCAAGTGTTGATAAATTTTCTTCAATTTCAAAGAAGCAATTAGGAAATTTAGGCGCTCTGGTTTATTTTAGTCACCATGTATATGCCAGGTTATGCCAGAATTCTCGACTGGCTAATAAATTTTGAATCAATATATTTTTTCATCGTCCACTTTTCGGTCGTATTGTATATGTTGCATTTGTCTATACTCTGGAGTGAAAATCGGATCTGTAGCCATTCCAACCTCACTCCGATATTTTGATCACTTTGCTCGAAAGCTGATTAGTTTTTTCAGAGTCACGCATGAATAATAAAATCCATGAACCGTGACGAAAATATTTCCCGCCAAAGACTGACGATCGTTGATGCTGCTTCGAGACTACAGTTCGTCTATTACTGCTCCATTATGTATTTACTGCTGGTTGTCTGCGAACAATATGGCCTTGTTGGTACGGCACCTGGAATTATGTGAGAACAAGAGGTTAGATTCAAGGTCACAGAAATATAGACAAGGTCACAGAAGTGCGGCCAAGGTCACAAAGTTCAGTCAAGGTCATAAAAATACAGTCATGGTCACAAAAGTTCGGTCAAGGTCACAGGAGTTGGGTCAAGGTCACAGAAATACAGGCAAGATCACACACAAAAAAAATGACTCTGTTGCCAGTTTGTACCAGACGCACGTTTTTATACTAAGTTTCGAATGAGGCTATCGGCCACTTTTATGTCAAGGGCTTACACTTTGTTTAAAGAATCAGAATCTTTATGTTCGTCTGACTATTTAATCCACATTGGGTTAACTGTTAGGCATGGATTAGAAGGGATATCAACAGATAACTTGTAAATGCTATTGATAGGTTTTCATAAAACATCAATCATTTCTCTCACCTTTGGTCCTTTTGTTTTCCTTTTGAATAAAATAAACAAAACAATGATGACGATTATAATAACCACTCCAATTCCTGCTCCAACACCAATGAAAATCGGAGTTTGATCTTCTTGCGACTCTATCGTTCCCAGGTCACTTATGCCGTAACTTCCGCATACGTCACAGCATTCTCCGGGTTTTCTTATAACCTTTGTGCAGCTGTCTGGCACCGGACGGCAGATTTCTCGTCTGCACATCACGTTTCCATGACCGCAGGTACAGGAGGCGCAGGAATCGGTCGCCATTGCCCAGACCTCACTGTGGGAAAACCTACGATCGCCAACTTGACAGGAGTGCATGTTGATGTCATCTGAAATTAAACGAGAGAGCTTAAATATTCGGAAAATTTTCAATAAAATTACTGGCCTCCGACTATGATAATATCATAGAATACTTAAGTATAATTTATCATTTCGTATTGCAAAAACAAATTCCTCACCCAAACACTGGGGGCAGCATTGGTCTCTCTTGATCACAGGATTCATACAGTTGTGAACCTGCGGACATTTATCACCGAAGCATCTGTAACAAAATCAGTAGATTCAGGTTTTTTCTACTCGGATTCATTGTTTCTCCCTAGTGCGGCCGCGTAAAATTCATCTTAGACAGATTAAGTTCATCATTTTGGTGCTTTAATCAACAGTCATTGCCGCAAATTTAGATTTGAGAATAGTTAACTTTGCTTTGCAACGAGTTGTTGCATTACGGTTCACCGCGACAAGAGGAAATAGAGTAGTGTTAGTATATTTAGTGCATTTTTAACAGCCAAGCCATTTAGTGTGACCATTCTCAATACCCAGATTTTTCTCTATCAAGCACAAAATCGCAATCGAACAGTTTATTTATTTTTTCGTGTCGTCCATCTAGATGTCTGAAGTTGGTTATATAGCCCACTGACTAAAAATGTTGCCCAACCCTGGTTTAGGGCTATATCTAGTGGTTGAATCTAACTATGTTGCAGGTTAAAGATCTTCAAGGATAGTTTTTTTTTTATATAGGCGACTGCTTTTACACAGCATTGTTTAGGAGAAAAAGACGTACAAAAATATCGTGTGGATAACCTACTTTATATCTCCGTCTCCGCAAACACAGCTTGTGCATTTATCAGGCCGCCATGTTGCACCGTGTGTTTGTGTTGTTCCATCTTCAGACTTGCATGTAGAACCGGTCAGGGGCATATTTGCAGGTTCTATTGAAAGAGAAAAACAGTTTGTCATTGGCACTGATTGCTTTCGGGGTGTGTAGGGGAGTTGTCGCGCGAACATTATGTGCTTAAAATGAAACTAACCTTGCTCAGCAATAGGCCAAGGTTTGCAGATTCGAGAAATTTCGCTCATTTCGAACCCTGTAAATCTCAGTGTTCTTATAAAGGTTTGTACTAGGAGAAGGTTATTCTTTGGTGGGTCTAAATCCGCATGTAGGCTCTAGCGATAAAATTCAGCGTTTAGATTGGTAATGGGACTGTTTCCTCAAATATCTATAACAAACTGAGTTAAATGAATGATACTTTTATTGTGTTTTACTATGATTATGGATATAAGCAACATTGCCAAAACTGGCGACCCATACCTAACAAGAGTAAAACAATGAACTAAATTACGCCATAGCACCGTGAAATTCATGAATATGAGCGAATACCTCTGTTTTATGCCAGTGCTATAAATAAGGTTTCATTATTACGTCACACTTACATGGCCCTGGCCACTGGTACAAAAACATTGCCCACCTCTGCTCCAATACCCTTACCACAAACCCATGGAAAAGATATGAATGAACAAAACAACACACAAACCTGGGCATGTAGGACAGCAATGGCTGTCTTTATACACGGGATTAGTGCATGGGACTGGTTGGCATTGTTGGTATGTGCACATGATGCGACCCGCATTGCACACACACGACGTGCAGGAATCGACGTCCCAACTCTCACCTTCAACCCTGTTGCCACATTTCAACCGATCACCGACGGTCGGGGTGGAACCTGCATGAAACAACAAGTGGTTTATATAAAAACATGTTTGTAATGCGGGGCTGGACATTTCGAATTGAATAGTAAATTATTCAAATCGTTTCAAAGCAAAATTTCGAATCCCCTCCATCTTGTTTTTTACTTCCCGCCAATGGTCGAGGTGAATTCCTCCTTTTTTTTATTGAAGCCATATTTTTTCAACGCATTTCAGACATTTGACTATTTTTTGTAATAATTTATTGATAAAACATGTTTCTAATTGTGTGTGAGCGCTCAGCAATCTGTCTGAGTGATGTATTCTATGTTTTCAATAATTCATTTGTTGACAGGACCAATTACAATAAAAAAGTCGCATACAATTACATATCTCCCAGGTATTCGAGATTCGATTATGAATCATCAGATATTCAAAATGCCCAGCCCTAAATGCGACACAAGATATTTGAGCCGCTCGATATAGCTTTGATTCTTCAGTTCCCAAACTTTATCATTAGATTCCTCGTTTCGCCTATTCTGGAACTTTTTATTCCTCCCGCATTGTGCATATAAATGATTTTGATCAATCTTTAAAACAGTGGTTCCCAATCGACGGCCCTTGGCCCACCAAGCCAGGCGCGAAACTGATTTGTGGTTTCACAAGGAAACTCCCAGTTTCATTGCTTGATAACGTTATTTCACAGGGTGTTTTCACATTGTTGAGCATGAATTATTTGAACATAATGGGAATTGAAATCAACCAATCAAAACGACACTAAATATCACCGCAGTGAAAAAACAGGAGGCCATGAGTGTTTAAAGCTCCCAGAAGGGGGCCACGAGTCATAAAAGGTTGGGAACCACTGCTTTAAAAAACCCTTAGTCTTTTGTAATATATATGGATTTAAATGGAAACTCGCGTAACACCTGAACTGTGATGGCGGAACCCTAAGGTGCCACGGAACCCCGGTTGAAACCCTGCTGTAAAAAACACTAACACTGTGCCAACATTCATTACAATTACCTGGGCAAACAGCACATACAAATCCATCTTTTATCACCGGATGGTCGCAATGCGGCACAGGGCATTCCATGGCATCGCACAGAACTATGCCACGTCGGCATACACACTGTCGCCCATTCGCGGTCCAGGATTCTCCGTCATCTCGTTTCTTATCCTCATCAGTGCATGATTTGGATCGAAGGGATTCTGAACTTATCTGAGACTCTGGGTTTGATCGACATTTGCAAATCTCGCATCCATATTTGTTCATCTGAGAATGAAGAAATTCAGCGTAAATGAGCATAGAATGGTCATACAGAATGAATGGACCCCAACTCATGACTAAGACTGGGCATATTATTATCAAATCGAATGTCGAATACCTGGGAGAAATGTAGTTGTATTGTCTGTTTACTGTAATGGGTCCTTCAGACACATTAATTAGTGAAAACACGTAATCTATCACTCAGACAGTTCGCTGAGTGTTCACACATAATACGAAACATGTTTCATAAATAAATCACTCGGAAGAAGTGAGTCATATGACAGAATTAAATTTTAAAAATCCGACATGAATAAAAACAATGAGGGATTCATCTCGACCCGCGAGTGGGCAAAAAAACAAGATGGCGGCGATTCGAATTGCCGTCTGAACCGATTCGAATAATTCACTATTCGAATCGAATATTCAATTCGAAATGCCAAGCCCCCCTACCCATGACTGCTAGTTGGCTACGTGCAAATGTGATAAGATTTTCCGTGAGTAAGATAGGAGTTGTATTAAATTCTTGAACTTTCGACTTAGTCAGGTCCAACCACTGACCACCGCGCCTACCAGAACCAGTTTCAAATTCACGTCTTTACGAATAATACTCTGACCACCGCGCCTACCAGAACCAGTTTCAAATTCACGTCTTTAACGAATAATACTGTTGAAGTTTTACTTCAAATGTTAAGGCCATGTCCTTCAATTTATGTATGTATAGTTCGTACTTTCAGCATGATGAAGAAATAAATTACTGATTACTGAGTATAATTTTTGGCGCTCCAGAAGTATATGTACCAATATGGAGGTAACTAATTTTGTTCGCCTACTTTACATCAAGTTGTGTAAAGGGACTGAAACCTATGGACAGGGGGTATATTCACTTGGCTAACACAGACAATCTCCCGGACTAGTAATAGGACTAATATAAGGAAAATCGGAATCAAATTATGGCCTAATTCCAACCTGGTACACATACTACAGAGGTCCCTGATTTTCACATAAATATGGGTTTGGGAAAGACGAAAAAACCAATCCACGTCGGATATGTAAATAATTGACCAGGTATTCGTCCCAGATATATAAACTTGAGTGAATTAGATAGAGTGGGATGAGATTTCCATCCAGGGGGCCATTTCTCTTACTATCGGGACCTCCAGAAGTATGAGCACTAAGATGACCCACATCCTGAACATAGTATGTGTACCATGTTAGGATTCAGGTTGTGCGCCATCTTTGCGCATATACTTCAGGCACACCTACTATTGTTGACACTCACCGTTCTGCCATGCTTGCATTGCTTATCACACGTAGCTACAACATCCATGCATCGTCTGCAACGACATTTCGAGCAACCATTGCGATCTTTCCTGAAATGTAATGAAAACAAAATGCACTGATGTACGTATGGCCAGATTAGAATGCTTCTAAAATATCAGTACAGGCGTTAGTTTAGTGAAACGTGAGAGAGATCCCGATTGTTACAAAACAGAAGCTCATTTCACGCACCAGTGATGGCCTGTTTATACAGAACCTCGATCTTGCGTTGGGCAAATTATATTGAAAATCTAGAATATGATGAATTCTTTTTGAATAACAAAAGATATTATTTCTCTAGGAGCTTGAAGTCTCTCGCCAATCGGTATTCGCCAACGCGAAATGCAACGTCATAATTCGAGTGTGTGTGACCTTGCTCAGAGGTGAGTCGCCTTTACTTCTAAGTGAGTGTGTTTAACTTTACTTACAAATGAGTCTTTTCAACTTCTGAGTGACTGTCCGTAACTTTGTTCAGGAGTGAGTCTCCTTTACTTCTGAATGAGTACCTACTACTTTGTTTTGAACAAATATTGGGAAAATTTACAAATCTAAATGTCGCACATCCTACCTGAAACCAAACGGGCACTGCTTATCACACGAAGTAATGTTACGACAAGTCCTTGCACGTTTGCATTGGCAAATCTCGCATCCGATCTCGTTTTCAACAAATCCTCTCTGACAATCAAGTTTGCAGGCAGACATTGGTTGACAGACTTCAGACTCTGAATGTTTAATGTAATCATTAGAGTTTTCCTTCATTGATAAGATAATATACTTGGATTCGGCTCTGATTCAAAAGAACAGAAATTTAGGAAAGTTGCGAAAACTCCGAATGAAGTTTAAAACAAGTGGCGTAAAAGTACTGTATGGGCAAATCTAGACCCATGGCATGCGATAAAAGTGAAAAACACAAAGAGACACTCTGTATTGGAACTTTCTGCCTATATTGTACACTCAGGGGTGAAGGAAATACAAAGAATACAGCGCTCAAGAAGTATGTGTACCAATATGGAGTTGACTAATTCTGTTCGCTTACTTTACATCAAGTTGTGTAAAGAAACTGAAACCTATGGGCAGGGGATGTATTTACTTGGCTAATCACTGAGATCATAATAGAACTAAAATAAGGAAAATTGGAACGAAATTATGGCCTAACCATAACCTGGTACACATACTACGGGAGTACCAAGAATACAGTGATAACCACGGATACAGATCAGCCAGAGAATTCTAGGTATGACCTACTTTCAGCAACTTTGCCTCACTATGGAGTCGTACCTTGACATATTATGAAAAGGCTTATCGATTTTCTTCTCCCCCGGTTTAAATTTTAAATAAAACCCTGCTGTATTCCAACCGACTTACTCTCTCTGCATTGGCAGATCCGGCATCCGAAATCATCCGACTTGAATCCGAACGGGCATTCTACCCCGGTCAACTTGCAGTCGTTCATGGAAGGACAGGACTTGGAAGAAGGAATGGTCATGTACGTTGGCTCTGGAATAGAGATGGCAGTTGTATAAGATTGCTCGTGAAACCCAGTTAGCACTCTAAGTCACTTTAACGCGGTTGAATGATCGGCACTGACAATTCATTATATCTGTCTAATGTCTTGTATCAAATATATTGTATCGTTATCAGTATAGATTACGCGAGACTCCCAATCCTTCACCAATGCCGTTGCGCTAGTAGATCCGTATGCGTATAATGCAAGGATGCTGTAGCAGGAATAAAATATAACATAATGTGCAAGAGTCCTGCTGCACGATAACAAATGTATGTAATGTTTTGTCTGACCAAAATCAGACTTCCTTTACCACAGATCAGAAACTGCCTGTCTGAAGAAGTCTGATTTTGGTCGGACGAAACGTTACAGAAATACATTTGTGTTAGTGTGCAGCAGGACTCTTGAATTGCATAATATTTTATATCATATTTCAAAAAATAAAAAACAGGTACGGCTAGGTATTAGTGCAACATCAGTACTCTTTCTACTTTTAGTTCAGAGATCGAGACCTTACTTGAAAAAAAACTTTAATTAAGGGTGCACAAACTTATGCTGCATCAGCAGTTGCCTGAAACCTTTCGATTAGTACCATTTCCACTTTTAGTTGAGTGCTTTGAGTAAACTTGTATAAAGTCAATGGATCTCAAACTAGTTATCTAATCCCATACCCGAAATGGATATGTAACAGGACAAGAGGCCGTGGTTCGCCATATGATTAAGCCGTCAGTTTTCTTTTCCCATGATGATTATACAAACAACACCATCCTATCAAATTTTAAACAGTATAGACTGCAACGTACCATCACATGTACCGCAGCATTCTCCCTCCACCGGTCTCGGATTTTCACAATTTTTCTGGCAAGACGATGCGATGCATTTTGGTCCGTTGCTCTTACAAACGCATCTTGTGCATGGGTCTTGGAACCAGACTTCTCCTGGGAGATGAGTTTTTCCGGAATCATCAGTGCAGATGCGAATCGGTTTGACCGTCGTTATCGGCTCTGTGAAATAAGGCATTTCGAAGTCAGGGGAGGTCAGACTTCCTTGCACAAGCATAACTCAACTATGTCATATGACTCAACGATACTACAAGAATGTACAGGAATTTTCTGAATGATTCAAGAATCTTTCTGTATTTCTGCGAGGCCAATTACTTATCCCTCTATGTTGCTGCGTTGGTGAATCAGTATGTGTATAATGTGTAACAAATTTGCAATTTGTCACTTTAAATCATCGAATATTACCACAATTAATCTTAAAACCTTGACTTTCGACTTAGCACCTGTAAATTTCAACGAGCATAAAATGATTCATACTCACGGGACAAATGAAATCATTGCTATTTTTAGACATAAAACTAGGTCATTTCATAACTTTACAAGATAATTGACCTAAATAACCATGTCTATGAAACAAGAAATTATCGTGCGCATCCAAAATTCCTCCTATCAAAAACGAGACAAACTTGAATTTGATTGGTCAAGAAAAACCTTCTTCCCGGAAAAGTAATAAATAAAGATAGACAAATTATCCTCTAAATTGAGAAACCCCCAATTCCATATAAATAGACTTATCGGAACAAAGAAGTTAGAGAGAGAGGAGTGGTGAATGGTAGGAGAGAGGTTAGCTGTTCTGGCTAATCCAGCTGTTATCTTATGGACAATACTATTTAAGGTACAATTTATATTTATGCTTCACCTTAGGGACAATGCTATTTAGGGTGTAGATTGTATTTTATGCTTTAAGTCGTGTTTTTATTTGTTAATTTCTTGTTAATATAAATTGTAATGGTTTAAACGGAGCAATAAAATAACATTAAAGTAAAGATATTGAGTCGATCTGTTATATAAAATTAACAGGAACTCCCAATTGAGCTCGTATAACTTCTGATTAATATATTTGTTTTATATCGGAGTCTAGATAGTCAGAGCACAATATATACCGAAGTAGTAAATCTATCAACTGACGGAGAAGATAACCAAATAGAAGGTTTGGTTACAAATGCAAGGATGTAAAGTAAGATGGCTATTCTATTTATGCGATTAGAGGGCAGGGGTGGGCAAGGAAAAGTTTTGCTCACTTAGACTGGCAAGCCATGTAAGTGTGACCGAAATCATCCCGACGTTTCAAAACTAAATTAAATCTCAACAAATTCCGTGAGTTATTTTTAGTTTAGTTGTGGAAGCAGCATCAGGCGGGCCAGAATGAATTCAGCTCTACCTCACCGAGGACGCAATAAATGTTGGGCTGCGCTGATCAATCACTGACATATACTAAAAGATCTCACCTTGCATTGTGATTCTGCATTTCGGGCAGCATTTTCCTTCGGGTACGTATTGCTTCTGGCAGGGCAGCTCAGCACATTGCTCAATACTGCAGTGATAGACCCCCTTGCTGCACTGACACATACGGCAAGGTTCAGGCCGGAATTCTTCGCCGTGTTTATAAATAGAACCGTTCACAGAACATGCGCCTTCCGGTGTGGCTGAGAAAAGTTGTGAAAAATTTATTTTTTGAGTGGGGGTATAAATTGGATGACGTCAGAATTTGTGACGTCAATTATGTATAATTCTATAATATGAAAAAGTGAGAAATTTTTTCCAAATCCATAAATCTGCTTCTATTATGTATTTATAATTTCTGCGGAGGATCAGGACCTCAAGCAAAATCGTTAACCCACCTTTGACACAGTCAATGACGTCACAACAAGTTCCGGGTCTGCCGTCTCCTCTGACATTTATGATTGGTCGATACCCGTCGTGACATTTGATCTCTGGGCAAACACTGGATTTGCAATGACACCTGCAATGAAAATGAGAAGGATACAAATTGATAACTGTGAAATTGTATTTTATCAACTTTTTCACAACAATAATTTTAGTCTCCCAATCCAGTAACCTTAGATCAGTTGGGGAGTATACGACATTTCATCAGTCGTTAGGTAGCGCTATAGATCATGTCAGCGCGTGTGTTTGATTTGCGTTCCATACCCGGGTCATACGGGGACGCGATAAAACTTTTTCCTTTGTACTTAGTCCGATACGCTTACTTGCGTTGTTACCTTGATGGGTAAGGCCGTAAAAGAAGTATTTTGCGAGTTCGCGTTCCTGCTTTATGATGAAAATTGGCGCGTTTTCCCTGTGAATTACCGGAGTTGTTACAACGCCATGTGGGCGGCTCGCTCAGCCTATACTACTTCTGACTAGGAGCCTAAATAGCATACTTCATGGATCTGGGCTTTGGCAACGTTTGGGCTACAATTGGCAATTTTTCACAGCTATGAAAAAATCACATGTCGACTCTTTGCGGGGTTCGTCTTCACCCCGTTACACGCATTGATCCAGCAATAAGGGATATCTGCTCTAAATGCGGAACCGGCCCGCATGGCGTCACACATCTATTTATTAGTTCAGCCAAATCAACACACCTAACCACTTATGGGAGAAGCCGATCGAAGCCGCTGTGTTCCTGGGTCTTCAATCACAGAAAGACGAAGGGTGTTAACAACAACAACAAACCCAAATAGCTGCCGTGGTGGTTATATAATTGAGCGGGACACCTATCAAGTTTCATTTCCACTATTTAATTTAAAATGATTTGAAACTGAGCGCTCGAGATGATATGCACGTTATACATCAGGATGGGAACTTTAAAATTTTAACTTTAATTTGAACGTATCGCAAAACTGATGGTTGAGGAAAAATGTTTTCGCTCGAAAAAGGCCAAGGTTGTTTTCGTAAATCAAAAAATTCAAACCCACACGAAATACGCGCAGTTTTGCTGGGAAACAAGCCACGGGGAACCAAAGCTGAATATCAAGCGACACCCACGGTTTCAATATCTGATTGAATGTTCGAGGGTTTTGGGGAATTAACTTTAGTATCAACATATTTCGGTCGTCACTTTTCAAACTTTATGTACTTGTGGGCAAAATATACATATTTCCTGGAGCGTGCGGCCCCATTAATTTCCGCCTACGAACAATCGTAAATCCGCGGGGAGACATTGATAAATTATAATCATTTTTTGCTTTATGCATCGGGTCGTTCGAGCGCCGCAAAAAATTAGTTCGCGGGCCGTAGTTCGCTGACCCCTGTTCTAAAGCGATTAAATAGTAGTGAAACTTTAGTTGACTTTCTGCAGTCTGTTTAACAGCGTAGTTAACCTTTCCGGTCACCGTATAGCTGCGTCATGTTTAATTTTTAATGAGTCATATTTTATTCATTCCGTTCAAAAGTACAACAAGGAAACCGCTGAAAACTATAAGTTAAATGAACTCGAATTTAAAGGTTACTAATATACTTTCAAATACAACGCATCAGCAAGCGCCAGTAAGGCAAACCCCGATTACTTGAAACATTGTTAGTTTAAACTACTAGGTAATAAAATGCGCAAACACAGTCGTACAAGCAGTTAAAATAAATGTCAGCTTTTCAGATTGTCTCTATTGATGAGAATATGTGCTTGCGTGTGTATATGTGAGTATTTCAAGCTTTATATTGCCCCCGAGGAATTTATTGATAATCTGTTTGAGCGAGACAACTCGATAATAGATTTATGTTTCTCACTTATTCGGCAGTTTGCAGCATCCATCCTTCGACATTCTGTCTGTTATCATGACACTGTCACTAGGACACGTGACGTTACGGTCCACTGGTAGGCACATGACGTCGATACATTGATCACCTGTGATGAAATATAGGGTATTAATCAAGTTGTTTTAAACCCATCCCATGCGGAAAATAAAGTGACATAAACAAAAAAAATAGCATTAGGTCATATGAAGATTAGTATCACATTCAATGGCGAACTGAAAACATTTCATTCGTTCAAAAACAGTAGAACGTGACACCAAAATACAGAATCTCCAAATTACTTAAAAGTAAACACTTGAACATGATTGTACCCAAATGTTTTGCTAAATCTAGAACACTTTAACGCAAAGTTACTTGAATATGTTTCAAATACCGCAAGTTCTATTTTTGTGTATCAATGGCTGCTTATACAGCGTCCTATTTGGAGTGAACACGTAACATAATAGTATATTACTTACGTTGAGGTTTGCATTGATACTGGTCACAGCACTGGCCCGGGACTCCGGTCGCTTTCTTGACCAGGATTCTCTCAAAGTCACGTCGGCAAAGGATCTGTTTGCATTTGTTTTTGCGGCAGGAACATCTGGAAATAAAGATTGGGTGAACTACCATATGTGGTGGGTGAGGTCTTCACACTTCGGCCCACGGGCCAAATACGGCTCGCGTAGCGATTTAATATGGCCCGCCGAGCTTGGGTGAAATAGTTGAACATTTTTTTTACTACTTGCGATCTAGATACCGCCAAACTGTTACGTCATAATCACAGTAGAAGCATTTGTATATTGGTAACAATTCAAATTATACCGGCATGTTAATTACATTAACCGGTATCGGCCACTTGCGAGCGCTCCTCTCTCTTGGCCCGCGAATATCCTTCCGCTTCTAATTTTGGCCCCTTGTCAACCGACTTTGGGAACCACTGGTCTAGAACGAACCTTTTGACGAGTGGAATGGAGGAATGTACTTTGTTTCAGAATAAGACATGGATTTATGTTATCACTCATCCTAATGCAATGAGGCAATGTGTAATCCGGAAGGGTAATTTTTGAAGTGGTCATAGTAGTTTCTGGTCTTCCTTTTTTCATCCACAGAGGCAAGTATAGTTAGGTTCCGGGCCGTTAGTAGAGTGTGGTTATTTACTTCAAAATTTTGGTTGACGTATTAAATTGGTCTTGTTGGTATTACTATGGCAATTCAATGAATAGGGTGTCCATAAAGTCCCTTTACAATTCCAATTTTGTTATAAAGTCTGTTCTCAATATATCTTAACCAGGTTTGTTGTTTTTTCAATCAGTTCAAGTATTTTTACTTCATTTATACATCTGTGAGGGCCGAAACAATTCATGGTATCGATAAATTTTATTTTGCGATTCAAATAAGAATTGAGACTTCGTGGACACCATATATTTATTAAGTACTAACCTTTTGGGAAAGGCTATTTACGAGATGAGATTTTTCTGCTATGAACTCTCAACTATCCATGCCTAGCAAACTCAGGTTACTGATTACTTACGTGCTGGGCAGTGGGCAGCATTCCCCTGCGGGCCAAACGCTGTCAATCAACTCGGAATCGTCAGGGCAGTCGGGTGAGTAGCGAACAACACAAGCTGCATTGGTGCAGTCCTTACGAGATTCTGAAAAATAAAAATAAGATTTTGATATTAGTTACTGAGGAGAGAAAAGCCGATAAACACCTCAATGGTGAACAACGGTCTCTCGCCGGATTATCTTTCACAGGATTCGAATCTGCTAACCCGGGATGGCAAAATGTTTTTAACGCTTAGCACGTGATGCGTATTTAGTGCACCTGGCTACACATTGCCTTAGACAAGATCAACCTGAACTATATGGAATATACTTGGGCGAAAAATAATATTGGATGACGTATGAAACTATTATTTTATGATGAGGATGTAAATAGCACGGCACGTATACGCGAAACGTTTAAGTATGTGTACTAATATGGTGGTAACTAATTTTTTTTCGCCTACTTTATTTACTTCAAGTTGCGTGAAGGGACTGAAACCTATGGGCAGGTGGTATATTCACTTGACTAACACAGCCAATGCACGAACTTGTAATAGAACTAAAATAAGGAAAATCGGGATAAAATTATGGCCTAACCCTAACCTGGTACACATACTACGTCAGTACCCGCGAAATAAAGTAGTTTGCCGACGTTTCGAATTTGTCTTTTTATTCATATGTCATGTTTTGGCTCTCAAGTACTTAGCCGGGAGATTTCAACGTTGCTTTGAGCGTAGCGTGCAAATTACATTACAACTACTCTGTATTTAGTGATTATGGCGCACTTCTGATAAACAATGACATTAATAAAGAAATTCATTATGAGAACACAATACCATGCGATTAGAATGTCTGACGTCACAAGTACCCTCGAAATTCCAGATAAAGAATAAACAATTGACGTCACAAATGGTCTGGATTTCCGGCGCCAAACTGATATCGATGTCGCCGACGTTCAATCAAACTTTCATAAAAGAGCAATTTGGTTTTGAATTGGACAAAACATGGACGTTTTGATACAAGATAAAGGTACTTGTGTGTATAAATGTAATATATATAAAATAAGGGGATTGGACAAAACATGTCGCAGGGTCTGATAAATGCTAGAGATACCAAGACAAAGCGCAGACCTGAGACAAGCGCTAAATACAATGAATGAGTCTCAACTTAACTTACTCAATATGTCCTATTCTGCATAATAAAAGAAAACAGACCAGAAAGTCAGCGATAGGCCAATAAAAGGCCCCGCTAAAATAATTGGTGATTGAAATTTTGCAATTAATATCGGGAGATCAATCTTGATTCTAGCTTGGCCATGGATAAATATGTGAACAGTTCCAATGGTCTGTTACGTCACGATAATCACGTGACTTAGTAAATAGCCCTGTGCAAATATAATGTCGTTCGACTTCCACCTGTTTCCAAGATCCGATTTCAAAGGTGTTAGGGTTTATCACTGGTATCGGATTTCGTCTGTGCGTTAAGCAGATGGAGTTCGCGGTCGACATGGGCACGGTTTGGTAATTAATGAATGAAAAATGATTCATATGATTGTTTTCCCTAACAGAGATGATTTGAATTGCTTTAGCGGCGCTCCAGAAGTATGCATACCAATATGGAGGTAACTTAGTTTGTTCGCCTACTTTACATCAAGTTGTATAAAAGGTCTGAAACCTATGAGCAGGGGGTATATTCACTTGGCTAACACAGACAGTCTCCCAACTCATAATATAACTAAAATGAGGAGATTAAAAAAAAATTATGGTCTTAACCTGGTACACATACTACGGGAGTACCGTCAACTGTTGTAGATACTTTGGAATTATATTGCAAGACGGCGAATCGACTAAATGTGACGATGAAACAAGTTTTCATTTTGTATTCCCGATGAAAATCATTTCAACAAGTTCATCGGCAATTCCTATTTTATAACAAACTGGTAGATTGAGGATGTTTACTAACGACTTGGCCGCTCCCATTTTCTATGCGAGTCTATGGGGTTTTCAGCGAGTTTCCGATTTGCATCACGGGCCACCTTAAAACAGTTCGCAGACTTATTATTATGCTGCTGCTTCTGCCATGTAAAAATCCCCATTCTGGTTCGCCCAAAACAATGGGAAAAACGAAATCTCTCAGACTATGCTGTTTTCAACGAGTTCCCAATTTGTATTAACGTAGGACTGGGAATGGTTAATCGGTTATATTTCATATGGTTAACGGTTATGATTTATTTTAACCGTTAACTGGCATCTCTGGTACAAATCATCTTTATACCGTACAATTTCGTCAAATATGATCACGTCATCACAAATTTATCTCTTGCGGCGTTTATTTCGAAAAAATATCACTAACTGTGTGGGTAAGGAATCAATAAATGTGAAAAATAATGGAAGCACCAAGGTTGCTAATAATGAAAATTCACAATGATGAATTCAGAATCAGTTTTCGGTCGATTTCGAAATATATTGTTCACGATTTCATTGCAAAATCGGATATTCAATGTCATACAATAAGTGTGCAGTTGATGCCGTTTTTCTTCATGATATATATCTCGATGTAGAATTTGCACATAGAACACTAAAAATTTGTCACATAAATGACGTTTAACAACGGAATCGGGTTTTCTAAAATATTTCCACATGCCCGAACCACGCTGCCTATCTCTTGCAGCAGAGGAATCATGAAACTATCTCGATTCGTGAATAATTTTGAGCGATACCAGGATAAGAACACGCTAAATTGCTTTATAACCATTATGACGTAACAAGCTGAAATTATAATTATTAAGTCAACGTCACGCGGCGGTTAACCGGTTAATTTTACCCGGTTAACGGTCAAAGTGTTTTCCCTAAAATTCCCATCCCTAATTAACAGACGAGTAAAGTTTTGACAGTTTGCACGCCTATTCGACTATTAACTTCATTTGCAACCGGTCTTGCCGTATTATTCTCAATAAGTCAGCCGACCGAGAATTCTGCCGATCGGCATTTCGGATTCAAGGGCCTTGGTGGAAAGAAATGTTCGAAGTTTGAATTAAATATTTACGCGCCACCGATCTTCATTTATGACGAATCAATGTCAAACTTTCATGCGCAATTGTGTCGAAACATTCCGATCATTCTTACGTCGCACGCCAACGTTGTTTCCGGTATTGTCTCGTCAATTGTGACCTAACAATAACCTGTCGATATTAAACGCCTGCAGCCATCACGTTCACGATTCGGAAAAACAACAAAAATTATCGCTGTTTCAAGCATGGTACGGGAATACTATATAGATACGCCGAGATAGACCATGTATGGCCCACACTAAGGATTGTTTAACACCTTCGGGATGCGAAACCTCACAAATAGGAACTTCAGCGATTAGTTAAATCTGTGAAGATTAAATAACAAGAATAACATCTTTCCATGAAATAGCAAATATACCTACTTGCTATTCCATTGAAAGAGATTATGTTATTTTTTCTTTACTTTATAACACCGTCTCGTTCAAGTTTCCTAACTAACACAACTAACACATACGAATCCGAAGTAGAAAGTAAACAACGAGAAAGGTCTTGCAGTTCATTAAACAACACCCTAGCGGCCCCATTAAATAATAAGTTACGATTAAGAACAAGATCTATCATGAACAACCGTAACATATCCGATGCGACATCTCAGACGTTGTCCCATTAATCCGATTGCCTTGTTTCTACACCATTTCTAGATGTGACATGTGAATTATTTAACACCGTATATAAGGATTGTTTTAAACGGATCGGGATGCGAAACTTCACAAATAAGAATTTCATCGATTAGGTAAATTTATGAAGTTTAAACATCGGAACGCGATTTAACGACTTGAACTTCTCGTGACCATCTGCTTGAACTGTCGATGCGACTCCTTTGGCGTTATCCTATTCGGTACTCCCGTAGTATGTGTACCATGGTTAAGGTTGGGCCATAATTTTATTCCGATTTTCCTTATTTTAGTTCTATTACTAGTTCGGGGACTGTCTGGGTTAGCCAAGTGAATATACCACCTGCCCATATGTTTCAGTCCCTTCACACAACTTGATGTAAAACAGGCAAACAAAATTAGTCACCTCCATATTGGTACACACACTTCTGAAGCGCTGTTTATCCATTGTGCCGCTTATTTTAGGGGTGGCATTCTCAATCTCAATCAAGAACGTGCCAAATTATCGGGGAAAAAACTTTTGACGCGCTTACACGAATGAAAATTGCTGCTTTCATGAATAAAACTCGTTTTGAGATTGTTAATGTGTATTTTATGCTTTTTGAAGTTTGTAAACATGTTGCATTTGGGATCCACTGCTGTAGAGAGATCGGAGCGTATCAAACAGTCGAATTTATAAAAAGTCAAAAGTGATTTTGTTTCAAACTCCCGGTTCCGATCAAAATTACTTGTTTATCGATGAAAATTCGCTTTTTTCATAGTAAATAAGACTTTTAACCCAATATGGATATTCGAACGTTCAGATTTTCTGGAAATATTCCCCAAAATGGTTCTGAAAAACATAGCTGTTCGGAAATGGGCAATTTTATTTCAAATCGCTCAAGAGAAGCAATTCAAAGTATTTATATCGATTTGCAAACATTGAAATGATCGCACGAATGATCTGGAAGTATTTGGCTTTAATGCGGAACTTCAGTGTTCTACGGATATGCTTATTAGGAAATTGTTTTCATCACAATGCACGGTCTGTTATTTTTCTTATTCCGTCACAATTGCTTCCGAGTTTCTTGGTGACGTAATAATCTGGTTTCCATCAAATGTCGTCAGTTGTACCGAATTAATTCGCTGTTGATAAAAAGAACTTGTCTCAAGTTCAGGGTAATTTGTACCGTTACCTCTTTTTTCGTCGATACAGGTTTCACTGAAAAAGTGCCGATACCGATGTCAAGGAAAAAGCGCCGATAACCGGTGTCAATAGAAAAGCGCGGATACCGGTACCGATACATCTCTAGTTCAGGGGCAAACACAACCATTAAGGATGCGATCATAATCTTTATGCGTCCAATCGGGCATCAACTAGGACAATTAAGACATGAAAATTGTCTCAATCGATAAAATTTCACCCGAACAAAATTACGACTGCAGCCAGAAATGTCTGGGGCGCTATTAATCATCAAAGATGCCATCAGGACTATTACGCGAGATGGTCAGTTGAATGCACATTTTCATAAGTTACTAATTATCCACCACACCATACCCCCCCCCCCCCCCCCTGAAGCAAAAAAAAAGGGGAAGTATACTGAAGTATTATCTTTTTTAGGACAATGAATCAATCAGACTTATCCAAAGATAAACGATGGTGGTGGTGAGAAATTGGTGGGGCAATAACCGAACCTATTCTTATTCCAGCCCAGAAAATTAGCTATGAGGCAATAATAGTAACTCATACACATACAGCAAACTCTATCATTGTCATTTCGCATTGCTGGGAAGGGTTCCGGAAATGCCACGCCCACAACTAACAAAGTTCACGCCCACAGCTTTATGAACAAACAAAGTTCATGTCACTAGCATTATGAAATAACAAAGTTCTACCGGGTGGTATTTCTACGATACATCATCCAGACAACATGCTCTATGTGGGAGTAATTTGTTTTCATTATTTGGTTTTGCAAAACTTTTTGGCGAAGTTTGACATTCATCGGCAGTTTACACAGGTTATAACTAATGCTGCAGGCTTATTCCGAACATTATAAAAAACTGACTCCGGCTTCGACTCCCGAATGATAAAAATTTTTCAAATCTGTAGGAAGTGACAGTATTGTAGATTTCCTCGACAATTCTAACGTCTGACATGGGCAAACTACGGCCCGCGGGCCAAAAAATGGCCCGTTTGGTATATCAATCTATAAATCAATAAAACCAAATTTTTGGTGTTTTAGATAAAAATAAATAGCTCAAGGAATTTGTTAAGATTGCGATTAAATTTAGTTTTGGCACGAGGCTAATTGTTTTCCACTTTTGCTTTTTTAACACTTTAAATATTGTTCATAAAATGTAACTTATCACGTCACACTTACATGACCCGCAACTGCAGGCGGGCAAAATTTTTGACCCGTGGTACAAATACCTGGTTTATATCACCGATACAGAAACTCGTAATCTTGGCTTAAACGTTGGATCGTTTGCTCCTTGTCAGTTGTGCGTGGTTTACCAGAAGCCCACTCGTAGCGAGTATCAGTCACTCGCTGTAGCATTGTCCCCAAAAAGTTTAGATATACATTCGAAACATTAACTATTTGTGAGTGTTCACAATGCCCTAGTCCAGTGGTTTTCAAACGGTTGGGCGCACAAATGACTTGAAGGGGGCTTGAAGCTAATCAAAAATGAATATATTAGTTCGATTTGATCTTGCCCGCCTTATTTTAGATATTCACATTTCTTTATTTTGGACATTTACGTTCTATCTACGTATTTTCACCTTTTTTCAATAAAACATACTTTCGCCTTACTATCTGTTATTTGTAGCTTCTAGTTGTTTTTGAGGTGGGGAGCGAGACTTGACAAGTTCTAAAAAGCAGGCGCGGCTCAAAAATTTTGAAAACATCTGCCCTAGCCCATAACACTATAACTAAAAACTCACTTTCAATCTCCAGCAAACGCATCGTACATCTGAGTTTATTCTTAAACTGAAAAGGATTCGAACAAGCCCTGACAGTGGGACATCTGCATTGGTCATCGACGATGTTGCAGCCGGTGAATTCTACTTCTTTACAGGACTCCGTAGAGGTGACGCTGCTTGAAGCTGTGAAGAAGAATTTGTTTTTATTAAATAAAAGTTCGTCAGCTTCAACATCAGAGCAATTCAAACCCGGTTAGGAAGAGAACATTCGAATGACTGTTGCTGGGCGATTAACCCTCGAAAAAAAAAATGGAAATCAGGTTAAAACCGAACCCAGGCCATTTGGAACATATTCTACACTTAAAGCAGTGTTTCTCAAACAGCGGGGCGCTCCCCACAGCGTATACAATTTTTAAGGGGCATAAAGTTAATTAAAAATGAAAATATTTGTTAGATTTGATCCTGATCCTGATTTTGGATATATACATTTCAAAACTATTCATTTATTTCATTATTTACGTTCCATTCAAATATTTCCAACAGGTTTTTTGAATAAAACATACTTTCGCCTTACTATCTGTTATTTGTAGCTTATTGTAAGCTAGTTATTTTTGAGGTGGGGTGCGAAACTTGACAAATTCTAAAAGAGAGGCGAGGTTGAAAAACACGAGAACATGGGGGGTGAACGAACTTTCCTTATATTGTGTAAGCCCGGTGTAAACACAATGTTAATAACCATAATGGTAATACCATTTTATTTTAGGGGGGTGTTTCCAAATTCAGGGGGGTGGTATATATTTTGTTATTAGTGATAAAATTATTTGAAACTTGTGTATTTGACTTATCATCTTTATCAGCATATGAGCCACTTTCATACATAGCAATTTTCCATATCTTGAAACGTCTTATATACGCTTGAAAACCGCTAGCTGGAACGGTATAGTTGTTCAATTAGAAATTTCATACTTAAAGGCATGACTTGAGCATAGTTTTTGGAAAAGAATGACATTCGAAGTGTTCAGAGTTAGAATAAACAAAAGTCCCCAAACATTTGGATAAATTTAGTATGTTTAGTGGATTCGAGCAATTTTTTTTAATAGGACACCTTTTTTAAATTACGTAATTCATTGAATTTCCTCCCCGGAAGAGTTAGGGTCGATTGTGTCGTAACATTAGTCGGTCCCACGCTGATTTTCAATTGTTTTTATAATCTTTTATTTCGAAACAATGGTGGGGGTGGAAGGTTATGTATATAGATATTCTCCATTTCATAAAGCAGACATGTTAAAGATATACTGCGAGAAATGGGCTGATAACTGTACTGGAATTTCAAAGTAAATCGTATTTCGAGTTTTATATTTGAGACGACGATTTAAAATAAAAATTCTGGACTATATCGGTTAGCATCAACAATGTCCTTCGTATGTTTATCGGAAAAGATAAAATCGAATGACAATTGTTCTATATTTCGGAGCAAATACCGAGAATCAGCGATGAATATTTATAACAGCAAACGTAAAACAATGATATCACGTTGCATTGTGACATATGAATCAACCTATTGTTCATTTCAATTCACAGAATAAATTTATGTGTCGCGTCATAATGACCTGAAGATTGGTTGTCATCAATCGCAGGCGACGAACATCGGTCTGAAGAGATTTTACAATTTAGTTGAAGCCTGCTCCGGAGTCTCTGTAATAATATGCGATATTTGCCGATACGCGACGGTAACTCATTTGGCACTGGGCTTTCGGTTATCTATTATCCTATCAAGCCAAAATGTGGCTCATATATCGGTGAACACGATCAGTCGAATACATAACACATTTTTATAAGTTTCAAATAGTTTTATCACTAATAACAAATATCTACCACCCCTAAAATTTGGAAACATTCCCCCCAAAATAAAAAGGTGCGGCGCACTGTTCTTATCATTTATAGAAAAAATGGGGAGAGAAAAAAAACCTGATATTCTTAATCGATTCGAGATATTGAAAGGGCTCTACTTGTGGCAATGTCAAAAACGTCCTTTTCCTCGGTGATTGAGCCGGGGTGTAAAAATGAAGACAATATCATATAACGAAATCAGCAAGCCTGTTTTCGACATTATGAACGAGCGGCCCCTTCGGCTTTCCTCTAAAAACGCCTATTTCGAAGTCAAAAATCTCGTGGTTCACCATGGGATTAAGCCGTCTTATCGACTTTCCTCTCCGCAGGGAAAATATTATAACTTGTTTATAAAACCCTATGGTCTTACATTTACAAACTCCTGTCTCTTGACCGTTGATTTCCATTCCATGTTGCGGTCGAATGACGCACTGAAGTCCCGCGTCACATCGTCCATGAGTCCCGTACAGTCCTCCACACGTTTCGTTGACTTGTTTGGCGCAGACTCGACAGCATCTGGGTAAATAAAGTTAGGTTGTAAAATAAAAATCATTGTTGGGGGTTGAAAAGGAAATAATCACAACAGGGTTGTCCAAAACGAATCGAATATCAAAGTATTCGAGTACCTTTTCGAATAATTCCGAATAGCTACTTTTCGCCATCAGCGAGGTGTTTTGTTTTTGCGGGAAATCTTCAAACGATTTTCCGTACTTTTTCACGTACTGTATTGTAATGACGATGAATACTATCGGCACTTTCATTGTTCGTTATCTTCTGTGCGAGCTGGCGCCTCATGTTGTTGCGACACCTTTGCATGATGGACATTACCGCTATTGCCCTACAAGGCTCCTAATTTACACATTTATTCATTTGCACTACGTCCAAAATTGCGTAAAGCCGCAATTGTTACGATACTAGGTAAATTGCCGGAATTATTGGGAAATATAATTCATACTTTTCACCACAGTCATAGTGGCACATACACAACTAATAAGAGGCAAATGATATAAGTTCTAAGTGATATAATACTTTCGCTGCACACTCATACAAATGCAATACTCGAGCGTATTTTTTGTACGATTTAAACTTCATTCCAAGTTATACTCGCTTTCCAGGTATCTCTGCTATGTCGTTACTTTGTTTTGTTTTATGCCAGAACGACCGAAATAAAATTGCTTGATCGATTTCTGCCAGGCGATCTCATACATGGATATTTTCAAACGCAAAATACTAAGTTTTAAAAACTTCCCAAGAACCTTGTTCACGTTCATGGATTAATCATCAATGCCACCCATGGTGTACGAATTGCTGGACAAGAAAGTTTCCGGTTCTTTCGAAAATAGTATCTTCCTGTGTATCGTGTATTACCAGTGGTTGCCTTTCGGATGACGCGAGTAGCGTCACATGAAATTAATATATCCTCCAGAATTAATCCTCCAAAAGTTAATTTAAATAAGACCGTGTCTTACTTATATTCGGGGAAACACGGTATATTCCCCAGAATTGTTGAATTCACTCTGGGCCCGAATTGAGGTCGTGAATATTTTACTCATTATATAGTGCCGTAATTTATCGTGGTATATATCTAACATGGGCAAACCCAACTAAAACTAAATATTGATGTTTTAGCTGAAAAATGCTAAAGAAATTTGTTGAGATTGCGGTTAAATTTAGTTTCGTTACGAGGCTTATTGTTTTTCAATTTTGCTTTTGTAACACTATGAACTTTATTAATAAAATGTAATTTTTTGCATCACACTTACATGGCCCGCAAGTCCAGGCGACAAGGTTTTTGGCCTCTAGTTCAAAAACCTTGCCTACCCCTGGCATAGTTTTATATTAGAAAATGCTATGTGTTGGCTTAAAAATGGTCCGTGAAAAAACTAGGATGCTTAAAATATTTTTATATTTGTAAATTTACGATATTTTACCCCAAAATTGTTGAATTCACTCTCGGCTTAGAGTGATTTTCGAAAACAAAGTCGATCTGGAATATTAATTGAGCGAGTGTCTTCTATTACATCATACCTTTACATAGAGATTAACAATTCTGGGTCGGTTCGGAAGCGTCCGCCATCAACAATTCAACGCGCTATGAAAACAATGGGTTAACTATTTCGTCATAAAGCGAGGTAGCCTCGGGCTGAAGACGAAAGTTTACTAAACAGAGCATAAGAAAATATTTTAACCCGATGTTTACTGATGTTTTAAATCATTCAATAGTTGAGCGGAGAAAAGATTGGTTGCGTTAAGAAGGTTAAGGTGAAGATTGTCAATCTTAAGCCTCTCAATCTGAATTGAACGGGCTGATATTTTGGTTCCAAATCCCGAAACGCCGAAGAAAAAAACAAAATTTTCTGCAAAGATGAACTTTGCAAATATGGCAGATATTTTTTGGGTTAAACAACACAATATTTAAAAAAATGTCAGACTTCAAATCCATAATATGAGAAATATCATCAAACTTGGAAATAATCTGACAACAAAGTTCAACTGAGGTTGGATTCGACGGCACATTGAAGAGAGCGTCGAGACTTGGTTGGTTGATAAAACTCATGAAATGGTGAATAGGCGACGCTCGAGAAGTATGTGTACCAATATGGAGGTAACTAATTTTGTTCGCCTACTTTACATCAAGTTGTGTAGAGGGACTGAAACCTATGGGCAGGGGCTATATTCACTTAGCTAACAGAGACAGTCCCCGAACTCGTAATAAAACCAAAATAAGGAAAATCGAAATAAAATCATAGCCTGACCCTAACCCGGTACACACATTACGCGAATACCGAATAGTCTCACTACGGATTCCTATATAATTCACTGCAAAAGTAGAGCAGTGCTCGAATATATGAACGCGGAGGTCAAATGTCAAAACATTGTTCCCAAGAATTAAAATGCAACAGCAAGTTTTGGGTGACTCTGATAGTCGATTGGTCCATCTTAAGTACTGAAATCGATTGTTGAGAAATGCGATTTTCTAGCAACAAACAACAAAACGATTCGCATTCATATTCGGTCTCCATTAATGCGCCACCTTTATGTCCACTTCATCCAGTTGGAAAAATGAAAATATTAGCCTTCTAGCACTGAAAATTTGGCACCAAACTACAAAGTATCGTCGCAGTAAATCCGTAGTAGCTCATTTCACATTTTGGTAAAATGACTTGGATTTCCTGTCATTATGGATCAGGGACCATCTTTCTGTTTGGGTTTCAAGGGTGTACCTGTTTTAGTTTTGATGTAGTGCTTTATGTGGATTTTTGGGTTAGGCTGTACAGATCTGAAATTTTCGAAATGCAATTTTCTCAAAACGATCCGCATTCATATTCGGTCCCTAATAATAGGCCATCCATATATTCACTTCATCCATAAATAAAACCGTAGAACAGGTGAGGCGGGCACGGTTTTTGTACCAATTGCCGAAAATTTTGCCTATCTGGGCAGGCGAGCAATGTATGTATGACATAAAAAGTTACATACCATGAACAATGTTCACAGTGTTACAAAAGCAAAAGTGGAAAACGATGAGTCTCGCAATTTAATCGCAATATCAACAAATTCCTTGAGTTATTTTAATTAAAACATCAAAATTTGGTTTTAGTTTGGTTGTGGCAGCATCAGGCGGGCCAGATTGAATTACCCAACGGGCCGGATTTGGCTCGCAGGCCGTGATTTGCCCATGTCAGATGTAGAAGAAGGTGAGGATTTACTGCGGCGATATGAACTTCATGCACAATATGAAACACTCACCTGCAAGCATCTTCCACCAATCCACCAGGACAGTTGGAAGGAATCCGACATTTCTCTTTGTCGCACGGGAGGCAGCTGTGGGCATGGACAGTCGAAGCTAGCAGTAACATGCAAATCATAACGATGTATTCCATGTCTCGATTTTATAGTAAAGTTTGCGAAGACGTAATAAGTTTATGACGTAATCCTTGATTGATGACCTCACTAACGTTACATCCAAGTTTATTCCAAAAATATTCCGGATGTCGTAAAGGTCTCTGATTCTTCGACAATACTATATTGTATATCGCTATGCTTTAGAAAAAATGAAAGCTTAATTTTAACTTAGCATGGAAGGAGGAGACTACGGGCAGACATGTGGAAGAGGGAATGTTTGAATAGACTGGAGGGTTCGATAACCTGGGTTACCATCGGAATTAGGCTTCAGCTAGTTGTGATGACGTGGATGGCGTTTGGGAACTGCCCTACAATTCAGAGCTTATCTTGGACCGATAAGTCAAATCAAATAGAAATGGACTCCCTTCCGCTCAAGAGGCGTCAGATTTTATTTAAAATGTACCTACAATTGAGAGGGGCCGAGCATATCTTACGTCGATAAGTTAATTCAAATAGAAATAAATTGGTAGCGGAGATACTCTTATCATAATAAATTCGCATTCCATAACTTATCATAACATAAATTGCAATTTTTCCAAAACGACCTACCGGGCAACAAAATTAAGACACATACGTTTCATTTTCCAAATAATCGTACACTCACACATATCAATGCACAAAATCAAAAGAAATATTGTATAGCCACAGACGACAAAGTCATTTCCCTTCAAAGACGGAAAACTTTCACTTGGACATTTGAATTTAAATATAATTGTAATCGCATTTTCTGGAAAATGGCCTTTCTGACTTAACTTCAAATTTTCCACTCCGTCGCAAAATTGTAACCTCATAGATTGCCAGACATAAATCGGTAAAAATACAGCCTTCCAAGCTCAAAATCACTAAGCACGGGAAAACAGAAAACTTTCAATAAGGCGAAGACGACGCGACTCGATCTGACGAATTCATTCAATTAATGTATTTCATTTAGCATTACGTTTGATGAAAGGATATTGTGTACGTCATAGTAAAAGCATAATCTATTTGTAATGTCATAAACAATATCTTTGTAGTTATGAGAAAATAATCAAAGCGAACAGCTGTATATGGCGTCATGGAACAAAATAGAAATCTTTAAAGTGATGTCACTATATATTAATCAAATTACGTCGGACGATATTTTAATCGCTTATTAGGTCCCAAGTCACGAAACAATGCAACAACATAATGAGATATAAAACGCTAGAGTGCATTGCTACTAGGGCTTTTATACGGATTTGTAGACCTCCCAACAAACACCGGCGAAAACACTGCATCTAAGACAATTGGCAACCACGAAACGAGAATACCGGTCGGAGACCGGAGACTTATCGATCGGAGGTTAGGGGGTCCCCCAAAACAGCGCTCTTACTCCATAGTGACACCGTGTGTCCCATCACTAATTAATTAATAACTCGCTAATTATACGACATAATTCATCGAAAATCAATAGGCTCCTGATCAGAGCTATGATATATGCACATGCGAAATTTGGAGCAGATTAAACCTCGCTTTCGTGAGATATCGCGTGCATCTAACAGACAGGCAGACAAACAAATACCTATCAACATACTTACCGATCTTAAGATCGATGAGTAATAACTGGGAAAATAGAACGCACAAATTTCGGCGCTCCAGAAGTGAGTGTACCAATATGGAGGTAACTAATTTTGTTCGCCTACTTTACATCAAGTTGTGTAAAGGGACTGAAATCCATGGGCAGTGGATATAATCACTTGGCTAACACAGACAGTCCCCGAACTCGTAATAGAACTAAACAAAGAAAATAGGAATAAAATTATGGCTAACCCTAACCTGGTGCACATACTTCGGTAGTACCCAAATTTCTAAAATATTCTATGAAAATGAAGAAAAACAACACTTGAACTTTTGTTTATGCATGATCGTAGCCGAAAGTTTTAGTAATCTTGGACGATTTGCACAAAAGTTATCTCCTTTCAAGAATATGTCATTCTGTCCTTCAGCGGATGTGACAACAAATGGATATCATGCAACGAATACGCGGTCACGAATCTTGCCTCATATGTCCTATATATATCATAACGGTATACCCGTAGTATGTGTACCAGGTTAGGATTAGTGCATACTGCATAATTTAATTCCGATTTTCCCCATTTTAGTTCTATTGGAAGTTCGGGGACTGTCTGTGTTAGCCGAGTGAATATACCCCCTGTCCATAGGTTTCAGTCCCTTTACACAACTTGATATGATATAGGCGAACAAAATTAGTTACCTCCATATTGGTACACATACTTCTGGAGCGCCATCATAACCGATGCCAATACAGCCTGACCCATCAATTTACCATCTGCCTCTATATACATGACTGCTATATATCGCTGTGCAACGAACAGGACAACAAATCGCCGCCTCAAAGTACCAACTGAGTCTAAAGACCACCCGCAAAGCCTAGACCTACCGGTAAGTCAGACATAAATTGGGTGTGTCGTATAAGCAAAACTTTTTTGCATATTATGGCGATTCCCATGTCCATCTACACTATGAACGTTGATATCTCAACAGAACTATAAATAATTCCTGACGTATCAATTGCGGCAGAAAACCTGGCCCATTTTTTCCCCCCAAAGATTTCAGTTCTGTGGAAATTTACCATATCATAGCTCTTTCCTCATTCTATCGGGACTCTACCTGGACTGCTATTGAGCAAGAACAATCGAAGTTAGGGATGGGCAAATTACGGCCCATCTGGCCCAACGAAGTGTTTCATCCGGTCCACTTGTGTCCGCTGGAATTACGACTATAGTTATCATATCGATGTAAAAACGCCATAATGACTCCGATTATTAAATAACTTTTTTTATTCATAGTTTTTTATATTTACATCACAGAGATTGAAAGACCACCGTCAGAGAGTGTCATGAGATAATTTGCATAATTTGAAATCAGGGAGGGATCGACGTGTGAGATCATAATGCGATCATTATGATGGAGCACTTATCATTGTGACAAGCTTGAATGTTTTGAATGTGTTAGTTACGACTAGCACAAGTTATGCATCGCAAACAATTAACAGGATTGCTATCCTTGTACCCGGCATGGACTGTTAACCGGACGAGAGGCCGTGTTCGCTACATGATAATACTGTTTTATCAGTTTTTTCAAAACTAAAAACAACATCTCACAACAAGAGACACTTCTCTGATTGCTACTAGATTAAAACACACAAGTAAACAAGCTAATTCCGATTACTCTGATTGTTTCATAATAAATACAACGAAAAACAAACAAAACGGTATATTGTTCGCGAATAACAACGAAAATATAAAATATCTGGAGCACATTTCATCCGGACCGAGCACAAAAATAGACAGAACAACATAACGAGATCTGAGCGTTTAATACTCACATGGGCAAACTACGGCCCGCGGGACACATCCGGACTGTTGGGTAATTTATTCTGACCCGCCTGATGCTGCCACAACAAAAATAAAACTAAATTTTGATGATTTACCTAAAAAATAGCTCATTGCATTTGTTGAGATTGCGATTAAATTTAGTTTTGGCACGAGGCTTATTGTTTTCCACTTTTGCAACACTGTAAATATTGTTCATGAAATGTATCATTTTACGGCACGCTTACATGGACCGCCAGTCAAGGTGGGCAAAATTTTTGGACCCTGGTTCAAAATACTTGCCCACCCATGTTCTGCAAACTAACCAATGTCATAATACATTGGCTGGATATCTCCGCATTGTTCGGTATGGAAAACTACTTTCTATTGTGAAATTTTAGCGGTTTTCACCCTTTTTCGTATATTTCCCCTTTCCCCCTATTTTGGAACTATTAAATCCTTAATTTAATTGGCTGGCAACTCACTCTGATGGATGATCAAATGACCATAAGGACCTTATGACCAAAGGTCGTATCGTTGCCTCCCTTTCATGTACCGAAAACATCTGTTTATTCGATACATGTATTACACACGATACATTTGAATCTACGACAATTGCACTTGCATATATTGCACCTATGAAATTTTTTTTGTTTGCGGATATTTGAACCCATACTAACGCTACCACATGGGTTTTAGCACCCGCATATAGCTTGAACCCGCGGATATTCACATGGATTCAAATGTACGTGGGCTCAAATGCACGGTCACCGTATACATATATTGTTTTCTTGTTTTGACAAAATGAAATAAACTTTCTCTCTCTCTCTCCTTAAAACTACTTTGTTTGTCACTCTTTTATGGATACTTTACTTGTGTTATGGGCAATTCGCTCTCCTGCTTTTATACAGTTTATAATGTGCGCACAAATACGTATCATAGTAATAATAATGAATTAACGGATATTAGTAATACCACAGCAAATAAGAAGCAAAATTTCTCCTTGGTCAGGAAACGTGGCCTTAAGCTCACGCACATATTATATATGTCAGTCACTCCGTCACCAGAACAAATAAGCCTATATGCAACTCATGATGCGTCCGACGGTCGCAATCCCTATTACTCCATACCCGTTTTAGCCGAAAGATTGGGGCCTTGAAACTCATATCTAAAATTATTGTCTAATATTACTTACTGTCACGAGTGTACCCCTGTTATGATCCTTAGTGCGTCGCAATTCACATAATGCTGTTCCAACTTTTTGGCTCTGCTTTGATCAAATTTCGGTACTCCGATAGTGTGTGTACCAGGTTAGGCAATAATTTTATTCTGATTTCCCCTATTTTAGTTCTATTACAAGTTCGGGGACTGTCTGTGTTACCCAAGTGAATATTCCCCCTGCCCATAGGTTTCATTCCTTTTACATAACTTGATGTAAAGTAGGCGAACATAATTAGTTACCTCTATATCGGTAGACACACTTCTGGAGCGCTCAAACTTGTATTTAAAAAGTGCTGTCTTATATGATCTATACCGAGTACATGATAACCCATAGAATGCGCCGGTGAACCAACTGGTCTATCACTCGGTACGCTCTCTAATCTCCAGGACCTTGCTTTGAACAAACTTGTACGTAACGTACAAAGTATTGTCTCACAAATAATTCAAATTACATTACACAAATTCTCACTTAAGCTATCGCCGTTTTAATCTCCTCAATTCCCTGCGAACACTCTCTCCGAACATAATAAATTTTTAATTTCGCACAAACACCCGAACTCAACACCTGACGATCGTTGTTTGTCGGAATCGGAATTCTTTTCTTGCGTGCGAACATGCGCAAGCGCAATCGCACACACACTCAGTATCGCGGGCTATAAATGAGCAAAAATATCTCGATCGGAAAAACGATTGTTCGTTTCATAACTCTCTGAGATAATCAATGTTTGGCCGATATATCAACCGTTGTTTTACTGACCTTAGGCTTTTACTCGACCAAAGAGACCTCATTTGAAGTTTAGGCAATATTCCTGAATTTTTAAAAAATATAGTTATATCATATAAGCCCTCTTATCGGCCTATCTCAATGATAAAAATTATATCTAATCCTTATACGCCATATTTTTATATTATCCATAATTACTTATATTCTATGTGTAGGCGAGATTGCCCAGAAGTGTATGTACTAAAATGGAGGTAACTAATTTTGTTCGCGTACTTTTTTACATCAAGTTGTGTAGAGGAACTGAAACCTATGGACAGGGGGTATATTCACTTGGTTAACACAGACAGTCCCGAACTCGTAATAAAAATAAAATAAGGAAAATCGGAATAAAATTATGGCCTGACCCTAACCTGGTATACATACTACGGGAGTACTGATTGTCCATTATGGACTTCTATATATCATGTTTCAACCTCATTTGAAGTTTTGACAATTTTTTCGTCATTTGTATTCTATTATTTTTGTATCATGGGGCCATGGCGGAGTTCATAGTATAATATCTGTTTTATTCAATTTTTTTTATCCGAATTCACAACCACAGTTTTATAAAGTAACCGACCGCTGATCGTAGTGGCGTCTCCGGACATTTAACACGTTGTGGGGTCAGTTCTATTCAATTCCCATTTATCGTCGAAATTTTTCTAAAACTAAAATTCGCAAAACTTGCCAAACGAAGCAACGTTTGTTTTTTCACTATACAAAGAATCTGGTTCTTTTCCAAGGAAATTCTTCTAATGAAGCGATTTAATGTTTTTGAGAAGAAAGTTTTACTTCGTATATTTGTGTAGTTTAACGAATATTCTTCATCTGATTAGTATTATGACATTGCATACATATAAGCTATTTGAAATGTACAAATACTCGAGTACAATTATCGCATGTAAATGGTTTTCCTCTCTTTGGAGATAAATTTTATGTCATGTAATTTCTTTACATGTTCGACTGAATAGGATTCAGTATTATGCGCACCCAGATGAAAAGCCATGTTTCTGTCCCAATGAAAATATACATGAGCATCATATACTGTTTGATTCTATACTTTCTCACTCATTGCCTCTTGATATAATGAGGACATGTGAGGCACGACATGTAGGTTAACTTTTTTTGAGTCATATGAGGCTTAGTGTGAATATTGTGCATATTATTGAATATTGTGTATTGTATATTCCATCATTGTGCTATTTTACTGTGATATTTATTATATATACTGTGCTATTTTTGTATTTGCGTGTGCCTATTGATTCGTTTGTGCTTTTATTTAAATAAGTTGTAATAAAACTGAATTAAATATACTACACAATATCTTTATATCTCCAGCTAAATGAATCTGGCCATTAGCTTGGGTAACACTGCTGTGCTAAGGACTGATTTAAAACATACTTAAAATTATGTTTGCGGACTATCCGTGTGTTTGTCCACAGACTCTAACTTTTGATTTTGAGTTCTGCGTTTTATTGTTTGCTGAGGCCGCATTCCTGTTTTGTGACGCCTCAATGGCTCTATTGTGACGTTTCGGAACACCTTGTTCGCGAACAAACGACTTCGTTCTTGTAGTCGAGACAAGCTTAACCTCAGATTAACCCTTTAATCACGAGGATTAAAAAATAAAAGACTTGTTTTCCAATCTCCAGTGAATGAATCAAATTAATCAGCTAACACAGGACAAAAAACAGTTCGAATCCAATTTTATTTGTTCGACCTGGCAGCTTCAATATGATTTTATATGTGAGTTTGCTTAAAGCAAGAGTGATACCGGGATATCGGGTCGCTTAAATGTGTCTCAAAGCCCGGCTTTTATTAGTATTTTACGTTTGACTTTTTTTCTCAATATGATTTAATGTTAGACTCACTCCCACAGGCGACGCTGCTCGATACCCATCACTGATTTATCGCGTCTTCTTTCGGCACGTGATAAAATAACCTACTGACTGACTCGCAAGGACCAAAGACTTCTACTACAAATATGAAGAGCACGAATACATGAGTTTGAGGCACCACTGTCACGATAGAGGTGTATACAGGTTTATTCTTTAGGGCTTAGGCAGAGTCAATGTTGATGGCGATTGCCATGTATCAACATGGGGCTAGTATTGCTGTTTCATTTTATATTTTTACGTAACCTCTTTCGACACGTGACATTGCCAAGTCTATGTCTCAGTTTATATTGAACTATCTTGCTTGGACCAAACTAACAAACCAAACTAACATCAAACCTTTGTTTTGAACTTAGCTCTGCTGACATGGGCAAACTACGGCCCGCGGGTCAAATTCGGCCCGTTGCGTAATTTAATGTGGCCCGCTTGATGCTGCTACAACCAAATTAAAACCAAATTTTGATGTTTTACTTAAAAATAACTCAGGAAATTTGTTGAGATTGCGATTGAATTTAGTTTTAGCACGGGGCTTATTGTTTTCCACTTTTGCTTTTGTAACACTGTAAATATGGTTTATGAAATGTAAAATTTTACGTCACATTTACATGCCCCGCCGGTCTAGATGGGCAAAAGTTTTGGCCCGTTGAGCATAAGCCTTGTCCACCCCTGATATAGGGATAGCTGCATTCGTACGTGGAAATCAAATCCACTATTTATTGCAATATTTGGTTTTATCGAGGACAGGACGTGTAAAATGGGCTTCGTTTCGAATATAGCTTTGGACCAAGCGTGGGCAAGGTTTTTGGACCAGGAGCCAGAAATTCTGCCCACAAAGACTCGCGTCCATGTAAGCGTGACGTAAAACGTAACATTTTATTAATAATATTCACATTGTTACCAGCAAAATTGGGAAACAATAAGTCTCGTGCCAAAAATAAATTCATTCGCAACCTCACCAATTCCTTGAGATATTTTGAGCTAAAACATCAGAATTTGTTTTTAGTTGGGTTGTGGCAGCATCAGGCGGGCCAGATTGAATTACCCAATGTGCAGGATATGGACCGCGGACCGTCGTTTGTCCATGTCATGACAAGACACTAACTGCCCATCACACTCCATCCACTCTATTTTCGACTATACAATAATTTACTTGATAATCATTAAAAATTGTTGAAATATTTTACTAGGAAATTTGCTCAAAACGAGGTCACGCGCGCTCAGAAACAAAGGAGATTGATCTCTGAGCGAAGTTACCACTGAAGTGCCGGCGCTCCAGAAGTATGTGTACCAATATGGAAATAACTAATTTCGTTCACCTAGTTTACATCGAGTTGTGCAAAGGGACGGAAACCTATGGGCACGAGGTATATTCACTGGCTAAGTCAGACAGTCCCCAACCTCGTAAGTAAACTAAAATCAGGAAAATTGGAATAAAATTATGGCCTAACCCTAAATGGTACACATACTACAGGAGTATCGAAGTGCAAACTGAAACTACATGGAATTACAATGTAGAATTACGCGTTAGTGAATACCCAATGTTGCGAGACTTTAAGCAGTTCGCCACGAATCGATCGGTAAAACTGCTGGGAGGCAGTAATTTTCAATATAACAGAAGTTTTTGAAAAAAATCGTTAAACATTTTTTTGTTGTTGCCTGGTTCGCGTTCTCTCAACACAAAGCTCTACACCAGCTCCCACTTATACGCAGATATCTATTACATTGCGAAGGTATAGAACAGAGGTGTGCAACAGACGGCCCGCGGGCCACAACCCGGCGCGACAAGATATTTAGTGCGGCCCTTGTCAACACTCAGAATTTACCCCATCAAACATAAAATTCTTATCCGATAGTTTATGTTCAAAGAGACGCTCTCATGGGAGGAAATACATATTGCTTTGTACTCTTGTCCCTGCGTTAAATCTTGCATTGTGATAATTTTTAACCGGACGAGAGGCCGTGGTTCGCCATATGGTTAAGTCGTATTATTATCTTTCCTTTTCCCTGTGATAAATATGCTAACCCTAATCCTATGTAAATCCTCTTTTTTTCAATTCGTTGTGTGCATAGAAAAGTAATATTTATGTGCGGCCGAGCCAGATCCTGAAGTTGGTTATATGGCTCGCCGACAAAAAATGTTACACACCCTTGCCTAGAATCTCTCATATTAGCGCAGCAATCCAAATAAAACAAAATACTTTTCTGAAAATACTTTATTTCCAACGAAAATATTTAACAGGGATACACAGTGACAACACTGCTCGCTGGCGACATCTAGCGATTTTTAATTAATAGTTTTTACTCGATCCAGTTCTGACGTCATTAGTGACGCAAAAACATAATAAACATAAACTATATTGGAAAGTAATCTTTCTAGATACAATAACGTTGAGATTTTTAAAAGGGAGGGGAATTTAAATTCCTAGACGTAATTGGGAAAATTGCTCTGAATTTGTTGGTTCAAATCATCTGATGGAAAAGCGCATAAAACTTGTCATGATAATTACCAGTTTCAACATTTTTCAATAAAGTTATGGAATTGCGTAAAATTTACTGATGAGTGGCCTGATCTAATCAAAATGAATAGTTTGTCGCCACCCATCAACAAAAATTATATAATAATTAGGAAAATAAGTTTCTATGTCGATATTCCATCTGAAAAGGGGGGTCTAGGGGAGATGGGATGGGGTATTTAAACCTTTTTCGTCTTTGAATTCTTAGGAAAATAAAATAATAATATAACTACAATTACTGTTGACGTATAAGGGAATAATTAGTAAATTGAAAACAATTCCATAGTTTGAACTTTGATAATAAATAAATCTATAATAATAAAATTTAAGTTCTAAAATTCGAGGAAGATTCTTCAGGTAGAAGGAAAGGGGTTTCGGTTAATTCAATTTGTCTCTCCGTCGATGTCCTATTTAATGCTTCAATATACAATAGTTAAATCAACCAAATTCGGAGACTTAAAGAAAATGTCGGAGTCTTAGTTTTGCTGATCCGGAATTCGGGACCGGATAATTTGATGTCGGAGGTTAGTTAAGCAATGAACATAAATAAATGGTAAACCAAGTCGTTGTCCGATAATTACCTCTGATAAGGTTAAACTGTGTGTCATTGAGAAGTCTATTTAGAGACAAGAATACAAAAAATTTGGCCGCTGGGGAGGACATTTGGGAGGGGGGAGATAAAAATAAAATAAATTTTGTTCCGGGATAATTGTCTACTACTGTTTGATATGAAAATATAAATAAATGAATTTCTGTACAATGTGGTGTAGTGAGTCAATATAAGGTATCCGGTCACTCGGCGTCTGTTCCACCGTCTCCAGCAGTGACAGGTTCTGTCGTAGTGGCCGGAGTCTCCGATTCATTTTGTTTCTGAATTTCTTCCCGGTTTCCTTTTGTGGTTCACCGTTTTCGTTGGCGCCCTCTTCCGTCGGCGTGACGGGCTTCACGGTGTCATCTTGCTTCGGCTCTGTTGAATCCTGGGATCAGATAAAGTTTATGAAAATTAAAAGCTCCAGAAGTAAATTAGTTTACTTGAAAGGAACCAGAAGTATGTGTACCAATATGGAGGTATCTAATTTTGTTCACCTACTATACATCAAGTTGTGTAAAGGGACTGAAACCTATGGGAGTATATTCACTTGGTTAACACAAAGAGTCCCCAAACTCGTAATAGAACTAGAATAGGGAAAATCGAAATAAAATTATGTCCTAACCCTAACCTGGTAAATACACTACCGGTGTACCGAAGTTACAACATTAGATTGTTCTATTAATAATTTCGGGAACAATTTGCAATAATATTAGCAGTATTTGCCTTAGGGCTCGGCAATTCCGAATACCTGATGAATTCAGAATCGAATCGAATATATATTTTTGATACGGGTCCTCCAGACACATAAATTACTGAATACATAGAATCCATCACTAAGACAATTTGCTGAGTGTTCACACAAAAAGGAATATGGGTACTCCCGTAGTATGTGTACCAGGGTAGGGTTAGGCCATATTTTGTACCGATTTTCCTCATTTTAGTTCTGTTACGAGTTCGCGGACAGTCTGTGTTAGCCAAGTAAATATACCACCTCCCATAGATTTCATTCCATTTGCACAACTTGACCTAAAGTAGGCGAACAAAATTAGTTACCTCCATATTAGTACACATATTTCTGGAGCACCGAAATATGTTTCATCAATACCTCACTAAGAATGAAGGAGAAACATGTAAGAATTAGAAAATAGGGCTTTGATGAAAAATCTTGAGGAGTTCATCTCGAACTTCGGCGGACACAAAAAATAAAAATGGCGTCGATTCGAAATTTTGGTGCTTCCGAAGTATGTGCACCCAGATGGCGCACAACCTGAACATAGTATGTGTACCAGGTTAGAGTTATCAGGTTGTGCGACATCTTGGTACACATATTTCTGGAGCGCCGCAATTTTCGCCTGAACCGATTCGAATAATTTACTTTTTGATTCGAAAAACCCTATTTTTGCCGCCATTCAGAGGGAAAAAATCTCTCAGAGCGATGTCGTCAAGTTCCTCCGAGCCCGAAACATTTGTTCATGCTTGATAAGTTACGTATTACATGAAAAGGCGATAAGTTCCGTGTTATATTTGTCTGTTCGGTGAAACACTAGCAATTGAAAGTGCGCTACAAGTGACCAGACCAAATATTTCACTATCAAGCGTCACATTAATGCATTTTCGGTTCAGTGTTATACACAGGGATTCCATACCGTCCTTATTTCTAAGATTTGTTCTTATTTTTGACTTATTTTTAGCTTGCGTGTCCTTATTTTGACTTCATAAAGAAAGCTTTGTGTTGTTTGTTTTATCGCCAAAGCTTTATTGTGGCATCATAAAAGCAACACAATCTTATTTGGAACACGAAGAAGCATAGCACAGTTAGGCAAGAAACCTTGTTAGTGTGGCTATCCTTAGGTTTTGTCGTGGTGGTGATTATTTTAGCCTAAATTTAAAAAAGAGCAAACGTAAGAACGTTTTTCGTGATGAGTATGGGAAATAATTCAAAAGTAAACGAAGCTTGAAAATTGAGTGCTTCGCACACTGTGACGTCTGTAATTGTGACATTAGCCTGGAGGCCATAGGAAAGCCAGCTATTTCTGCTCACAATGCAGAAATCTTCCCAGTCGTCCTTATTTTGGGTTCCAGATCGATGAAATCCCTGATTATACACAATAGGATGCATCTACATGGGGGGTTACCAAAGTTGATTTACCGTGGGGCAAAATTAGAAGCGGAAATATATTCGCTGGCCAAGCGAGAGGAGCGCCCACATATAATATCGTCATTATCACAGTTATTTCACTCACGTTCGGCGGGCCATAGTAAATTAATACGCGGGCCGTAATTGGCCCACAGGCTGTGATTTGGGAACCACTGCTTTACATTGAAAAATAAATCAGGGATTTTCGAGTTTTTAAAAATGTCACAGAGATTTTTTATAAGAGCATTCGCTCAAATACAAGGTCTCTACACACTCACTCAAAACAAAAGGAGAAATCCAAGGGCAACCGACCAAGCCAAGCGCTACTAAGATTCATTGCGCAGTCAAAGTAAATGAAGAACTATCAGTATAGGTTACTCGAGACTCAAACTCCGAATCACTCCTAATAGTGGATCCGTATGATGCAAGGATGCTGTAGCAGGACTAAAAATACCATACTATGCAATTCAAGAAACCGTATGATTGTTCTTTTCTTGTCATTGTTGTAAACTGCTTGTCTAAGAAAGTTTGACTCTGGTCAGACAAAACGTTACAGAAATACATTTGATTTAAGGTGCAGCAAGACTCTTGAATGGCATAGTATGATCATGTTTATTCCTGCTACAGCATTCTTGCAGTATACGCATACACTAGCGCAAAGTCAATACAAAGGATTGGGAGTAAGTCTTACGCAACCTCTACTCTACAATACGCATAAAGATAAATTTTGGGCGCTCCAGATGTGTGTGTACTAATATGGAGATAACTAAATTTTGTTCGCCTATTTTACATCAAGTTGTGTAAAGGGACTGAAACCTATGGGCAGGGGGTATATTCACTTGGCTAACACAAGCAGTTCCTCAAACTCATAATAGAACTAAAATTAGGAAAATCGGAATAAAATTATGGCCTAATTCTAACACATACTATGGGAGTATTGAATTTTGTAACACTGTTTGCAGACGAGAGTGGGAATTAGCTCCCAACACGTTAGTGTAACTCATCTGCCGTTTTGAATTATTCAGGCGCCCTATATGTAAGCCGATACGCAGGTTAGCAGTGTCAATGGTGAAATCGATATTATTTCTGACAACGAGAGAGCCAAATAGGAAACAATTCGCACCACGTTAAATATTTTTTTAACCGAATTCCGGGCACCAACAGGATTTCTAAAAAGAGTGGCAAAACTGTATAGCAAACCAACATATTAACGGTAAAGATGATGAAAACGTTCGTTTTATTTTCTGAAATACTGTCCCATAATGTAAATTATTTGCAGGTTATATGTGACAATACGTTCCACAGCTAAATTTTTGCCGCTCCAGAAGTATGTGTACCAATATGGAGGTAACTAATTTTGTTCGCCTACTTTACATCAAGTGACTGAAACCTATGGGCAGGAGGTGTATTCACTCGGCTAACATAAACAGTCCCCGAACTCGTAATAGAACTAAAATAAGGAAAATCGGAATAAAATTATGGCCTAATCCCAACATGGAACATATATTACGGGAGTACAGTCGTTTGAATAGCAGGTGTGCTAAATTGGGCAGGGGGTGGTTCCGGTCGTATCAGAAATATGTTTTGGCTTGTTCCCAGAGGAGATGCAATAACATCTCACAATGATTGCTACAGATGTGAGTATTCCAACTTACCTTTTCGGCAGTTTTAACGTTCTTTGTGTTGGCGCACCCCATGTTGAATCTTTAGTTTGAAAAAGTAGTTACTATGGTTACTGAATTCTGTCAAAAACAAATAAAATAAAAATATAAAAATTACTCGCAAAGAAGTACAAAAAAGGCCGATAAATATTCGAACTCGCTATTTTCAAAGAATTGAGATTTGATTTCAAACTGCATAATAGTCGGTAAAACTTTCCGCTTTTACTACGCTAATCCAGGAGTACATATATTTCTGTAAAGTTTCAAATTGCCAATATCAGACTACCTCAAACATACGTAACTCAACCACCTCAACGATCTCTTCGGCAGGCTGCAAGACAAAGATTTGAACGAGCCTATTTTGCGAAAAGATCAATTTAGACGACGCTTTGCCCGTTGCAAGTTCTGGGTTTGAGAAATTTGTCCGAACGAAATTGAGACATTCCTCGCCAGTAGGGAATTTTGTTCTTCCTTGGGACAAATTTTTCTTTTTATTTGCTGATATTCGTTTTTTCTTTTATTATTACTATAATACTTATTTGTGCGCACATTATAAATTGTAAAGAAGCGAGAGTGCAACTTGCGTAGCACTAGCTAGGGTATTTTAAAGATCGAATAAACACTTTATATTCCTAGTGAGAGAGGAATAAGAAGTTTCAAAATAGGCGAAGAAAGGAATTTGACAAAAAAGGGGCCAATAACTTTGCACAAAGGGTCAAAAATTTTGCCCATCTGGATTGGCGGGCTATGTAAGTGTGACGTGAAAGGTTACACTTTATGAACAATATTTAGTGTTACAAAACCAAAAGTGAAAAACAATAAGTCTCGTGTTAAAACTAAATTTAATCGCAATCCCAAATTCCTTGAGCTATATTTCAGCTAAAACATCTAAATTTAATTTTAATTTAGTTGTGGCAGTATTAGGTGGCCAGATTGAATTGCCTGCGGGCCGTAGTTTGCCCATGTCAGGGCTAGAAGCATAACGCTTGTTCGTAGATGGGACTCATGATATATTCTGGGTTAGGATAAATATAAAGTTGAGAATAGTTGAAACAAGCTTCGAAAGTCAAACTCACAACAAAATCGCGAATCAGGTTTTCTCGCAAAATACTCCAACCCACACAGCATTCCTCGCCGCTTTCTGGCCCCTTCGTATAGGGCTATTGGGCTGTCATGAAGACAGTAGGTTAAGAATGAATATATTGTTCTAATCATCATTCGAATATCACTCTGCGTTTACATATATATATCTATATTCCTGAGTTCGCTATTAGACTTGAATACAGACAGCAGAACGATATAATCACCAACTGACACTCACCCTGCTACACATACGGTTAGCTAACTCGAATCTTTACCGACTACAAACAGTCATACACACTGAACGACAACTGCTTCCAATATGAATTTCCTACAATAACTACAAACTGCTTAGTTACGACACTCACGACGCCGCCCTTCATTATTTATTCAAAACCAAAAGCGCAATCGGGAGGAGAAATCTGGAGCACCTGGCAAACTGTTTAAAAATTAAGGAGTTCAACTGGCATTTTATGATCATTCGATTCGCTTATTTTTAATTAGGCATTTGCGCTGTATGCGATGCGAATGTACGAGTATGTCTTATGCATTTTCAATAATTCTCGACATTTTAGTGGTCCCGTAGCTGACCCGCCCGATGCTGCCAAAACCAAACTAAAATCAAATTTTTATGTTTTAGCTAAAAAATATCTCAAGGAATTTGTTGAGATTGCGATTTAGTTTTGGCACCAGGCTTATCGTTTTCCACTTTTGCAACACTGAAATATTTAATAATAACATTTATAAAATATTACTTATTACGTCACACTTACATGGGCCGCTAAACTAGATGGGCAAAATTTTTGGCCCCTGGTTCAAATACCCCCCGTAGCTCTTGGAATCTCAATGATCGTCCGTAGCTTTCCTCAGAGATGAGTTGCATTTGCTACTGAGTGATTGCGCCTAATGCATCACCATAAACAACTCTCGCTATTTCAGAATTTGTTGGTTACTTTGCTCAAAGATGAGTAAGTATCCTTCACTCCGGTGTGAGTTGGCGTGAACTTTCTCTGAGTAAATTCTCATAACATATAACAAACTGTCGGAGCAAGAAGCTTATAACATGAAAACCCTAGTCTACCCTCTGTACATTCATAGATTATTAATATTCATTGCATGGAAAGTTCAGACTGATTCGACAAATGCTAAAACAATGACGCGCTTTCTCTTCTGAGGTTGTTTCAGATTGTTCTGTCTGTTACAAGATGGCCGTATATAACGATATTCTAGAACAGTGGTTCTCAAACCTTTTAAACCGCGCCCCGTTCTTAGGATTTGTCAAGTATCGCGTTTCACCTCAAAAATAACTAGATAACAATGAGCTACAACTAACAGATAGTAAGACTAAAGTATGTTTTATTCAAAAAACACGTTGAAAATACGTGGATGCAATTTTTATACAATAAAATAATGTAAATATACAAAATGAGGCGGGCAAGCTCAAATCGAACAAATATTTTTAATTAACTTCACACCCTCTTAAAAAAATGTCTACGCCCCCCTTTGTGAGGCGGGTGAGGTCTACCGGGTGTTCATAAAGCACGGCTACAAATTTCTTTCTTCAGTTTTCAATATTTCCTAGCCAGGTTTGTTTCAATCAGTGTTTATTTAGGTTTTCACTTCCTTTAACACGCTATGTCCATCATTAGTTTACAAAGCATATCAAAGGGCGCTCCAGTAGTATGTGTACCAATAAAAGGAACGGAACACAGACAGTCACCGAACTCGTAATAGAAATGAAATAGGGAAAACGGGATTATGCCCTAACACACACTACGGAAGTACCCATCAATGTTTGTGATAGCAGCGCTAATATACTAAGGAGCTATCGATGGGAAATCCCGGTGATCTCGTTTAGTAAGTATGATTCATTGCAGTTCCTTAAATTATTGATAATTTTGTGTTCTGAAATTGATAATTTTTAACAAAATCTCTTCACTCGTACCGAATGTAACTATAGAAGCACGAATGTTGCAAGTAATAGGGCGGCTGAACATGAAAGTTCGTCGAATACTCGGTTCTTCACGAATAATTCAATCGAAATTCATATCACACATTAGCGCTATCGCAAGTCAGTGCGGGCTTTCAACCTTTTAGTCCGAGTAACACCTACAATGTCATAAATTGCTTGCAGATCACCAAACAAAATTTTCAGATTTTTCGGAAATAAAAGATCTGATTAAACCATATTTATCTCGACCAATTATGATATAACAGAGAAATCTATAGCTTATGACTCGGATTGTGGGAGAACCTAACAGATTCTATTCCATGGTTAAAAGTACAAATGAAAACTGAATGAATAAATAGCTAGAAATAGCATTAACATAATGCGATATCTGGTCATGCCCTGGTCATGTCTTCCATCCATCCTGAATAAAAAAGTTCTTTATTTCCATATATATATATATATATATATATACGATATGGCAACAGCGATTATGAACATGGTTATAAATAACATTTGCAAACTACTCCTAATGGCAAATTCTAATTGGTAGTAAATTTCTGTTATGATGCCATAAAACCTTAAAACGAGATTCAGAAATTTTAGATTTTGAGCACTGAATTCTCATTATCAAACATTAGACTCAACATAGACCAAATCCGCGCTCAATGACATTTGATTCCTGCTTGTTCGTTTTTTATCATAAATGCGTCAGTCAGAAAACATGGATAAACAAGAATTCAACGCGGAAGTCCTGAATGTCGTTCCCGAAGCTGACAAATCTTAACGAGTAAGTAAACTTCTGTCACGATGTCACAAAACTCACGATGTCATAAAGCCACAAAAAAATTTAGATTTCGACTGTGGATTCTTATTAACACAAACTCATCATAAATGAAATCCGCGTTCAGTAAATCCCGATTTTCACTCTGTTCATTTTTTTAACATAAAACAGGAAACATTGAGTAATAAGAATTTGACGTGAAATTCCCGAATGTCGTTAATTAAGCACCAGCGTTGAAAAACTATGCAAGTCAAAAACTTCAACTAAATGCATTTTGGACAAGTTATGGGACGTAAGAAAAATAGAAATAACTCAATTTATCCCAAGTATCGCAATTTTAAATAAAAGAGGAGAAACGATCACGCCCGATGACGACGGTAAACACATTCAGGTACGATAGTATGTCGAGTGTTGACTAATCTTGGCAAAACACGAAAAAAAAAGAAACAGTCGATTTACGGGCGAATGTTCATCAGTGGCGTAGCCTAAAATTTGCAAAGGGGGGGTTCTGAAATTTTTTTTGTCAAGTTAGATTGAAACAGCTAGCGGGTCCGATCGAACGCTGGAATACGCGTGTTTTCATTAGTCTTGGGGGTCTAATAAGCATTTTAAGCGACGGAAAATTAATATCTATGATACAGAAAAATTATTTTATTTTTTTTACATTTCAAAACAGGGGGAGAGGGGTCGACCCGCAACCCCCCCTGGCTGCGCCATTGATGTTAATGCTTTCATTGATACTTGATGAATTTTCCTGAATTAGATATCGTTTATCATTGAGCAGAGAAAAGTGGATGATTGATTGATCAATTGGCGAACTACGGCCTCTCGTCGGTTACCAGTTCATGTCGGGTATGGTATTAGTTAGTCAGTTATTTGTTTCACATACATGGACATATACACGGGATAGCCGTTGTGAACCTCGTATAAATGTCCGAAAGTTAATAAAGTACGGCTGACGTATAAGAGCGAAGTGAATAAAATTTGGAAAATATAGAATTAGATCATACATGGCCTGGAATCAACGTCACAATCCAAAAATAGTCACACATGAACGACTTTTCTGGTTCGCACCATACAATGCTGAGAAACGCATAACATGTTGCTTAACGTGGACTTTAATTGCTCAATAATAACCTTGCAAATTAGTTTTCGACTTTTTAACTAATCCAATAAAAAATACAGTTGAGCTAGTGCGAAGCAAGACTTGTATTACTTACAACAGGGGTTGTGCAACTTTGGATCAAAAGGGCCAGATACAAATAACTGTATGAAACCGCAGG